AGTATGAGTATGAGAATATCACTAATTTTGGCTTAATCTATGGCTCCGTGGCTAAAAGTTTCCTTTTAGATGTGACTTGATAGTTATCCGGTACATTTATAAACATATGTATCTATATATAATTCTCCTTGCTTGAGAACAACAGTAAAACCACTGCAGAGATCAACGGAATTTCCCTTTCAAAAGAAGAATCAGCTAACCTTTTGGTAATGGATGTTGGAATTAGAAAGTCCCTCTTTATAAACTTGAAATAGTGCAATTACCTAGTTCTTATTGCTATTCCCTCAGAATTAAGGACTCAATCATTTTGTACAGTCAATGGTAGCCAATAAAGTGAATAACTCTTTGAAAGCCGTGCCAGTGTTGTTAAAATCATGCGACTCACAATTTGAATCGCACAATTTGGTTTGATTCAACCTTCGAATGATTCGTCTCGCACTCATGAATCGTACAATTCTACGATCCTCTACGGTTCAAGAGAACAACCACAATTTGCACTGTTTGACTTTATAACAGAGGTTGGGCTCAAAAGTATTGGGTTCTAAAGAGAAAAATTGTCATGTAGCAGCAGTCTATGTACATTTTGGGCGTGAAATGGCAGTACATGCACAACAAAACTCACATGTAGAAACATAGTGTTTCTAATACTTGAATCTTAAAAGACCTAGAAGATATCCATCACATGCAACGCACGTATATCTCTAGTAGTCATACAGGAAGAGGCTTGTGTCTGCCCGTTTTCTAGAAATCATCCACAATTATCTAACCATAATGGCTTCAAGGTCCTTCTTAAAAAATAGACCAACAAGGACACTTTCTAGACATCCATTCAAGTTCTTTAAAATCAACCTTTCAAAATCAACAACCGCATAGCAGACCATTTGTGGTTGGAATCTCTTGATCCACATGGAGAATGTGCTCGAAATCCATGCAGTATTTGCAATGTCATCGCATAAGTAGATGTTTAAAGGTGTACCCGACAAAACAAATATGTTTGACCCACTCAAGAATTCACTAGATTGGACACTTACTTTACCCAAAAAGTCAACTTCTCGAGACTCCAACCAGTGAAAACTGCACTGCTAGTAAAACTTGTTTCAAAATTGAAGCGAGCCCATGACAAAACAGAACAGCCTGGATCCGATAGAATGCAAACCCAAGACCTAATTGAATCCAAGCAACGTGATCTTTGATACTTTAATATTCTTGCCCTTAATCTAGACATGTTGAAAACGAAGACATATGGTTTCACATATCACTCAAAAAGTTGGATACAATTACTAAGATAGCCATATCCTGTCAACATTAGTTATACAAGCCTCTAATAACAATCGGTGCACTCTTTTCAACCCCCACCCCACAAGGAAAGAAGAAAATGAAAAATCAATCTCTAGAAAAGCCTCATTAGCAAAAGCAGGAGTGAAAAAGAGTACCAATAGCAATTAGTTAGTGAAGTCAATCACTCGTATATCACAACTGAATTCGTGCATTATATATATATATATATATATATATATATATATATATATATATATATATATATATATATATATATATATATATATATATATATATATATATATATATATAGCACAAGAGTGAGAAACCTGACAATGCTATAACAAGTTGAATGATATATAAGGAGAACTTCTTTCACTTAACTTTCGTTTTAATGAACTTGCCAGTTTAACTTTCCAAGAAGGTAATTCATTTCATCGTACCTCTCATGACTTCTGCATGCTAAACTAAGTTTCTGTGAGGCTTATCTTTTAACACCTTCAAACAGAAATTTTTCAAGGAAAAAATTCATATGCAGATAACCGGGGTATGCTGGTGAGCAAGCAGTAAACAATCTCACTGAACAGACGATGGTTCAGCATTAATATTACCAGCAAATTCTCTGAGCAAAGTACCTGAGGAAGAGGCAATGCTGCAATGAGATCAATGAAGAAATCAGATCTAAGATACCGTCGTGCAATCTTCTTAGGATCCATTACAAGCTCACCCCTACCAAACACTCGAGAGCTCGGCGCAACATAAGCTGTTCTGAACTTTATAACCATGTGCAGCAAATAAAAGAGATCTGCCAGTGTTCGAAAGCAGGTTACTATGATTCGTAGATGCAAGTCTGTCTGCACGCAAGAGTTGTCCAGAGTCCCTCCCAATGTTGGCAAGTAAAAATATAATGGGTCGACAAAGAGTGCCACTAAGCATGAGAAAATGAAAATCCGGTTCCACCTCAACACAATTTCACCCCCCGGATCAAGCATTTTACTCCGCCCGGGCGCAAGGTCTTCCGGAAACACCTTACTCCTCCCACTTGAAATAGCTTCAGGTAGTTTACATTTACCTCCCACGAACCCATTCTCTGATTTCAGTAAAGACGATGAGGAAACCATGTAATTCGAAGACGACATATTCAAGTTCGAAGGGTCGTCACTTCCCCTTCTCAATTCTTTCCTCTGTTTTCCATCAGAATAAAACCTGCAAAATTTGTAGCAAAACTCAGCACCGAATACACGAGTGTGCAGGTAACAGAGACCTCAAAAGGTATCAAAGGGGAAGCTGACTAGGCATTACTCGCATTTAACAGGGTCGGGCTCTATAATTTATATTGCTCTAAGTAAAGCGGCTGTCTTCGCCGTTTCCCATGAAAATCATTCGCAAACTAAAATTTCAACCAATTCTAGTTTTCGGCAAAGCCACATAGTAATTAGTTATGAAGAGAGGCCAAAACCTGTGGAAAAGATAAAGAAGAAGCTCTGTTCAGCAGAGTTTCAATCCAGCATTACACGTTCCAGAAAACGGAGCGATCTAGTATTTCCCCCCCAAGAATTTAACCACTTCGTCCGTTCCAACTTCATAAGGAGTAAAATTACTAAAGCTCACACAATTCAGAGAAACTAACCGCAACTGCTGCCAAAATATCACAACCCCGACCAAGACTCATAAAGCGAAACACCCAAGCATCCGCCGGGCCTAAAAAAGCGAACTTTCCAGGAAAATTCTCACCGGGGAAAGGACAAAACACCCCGGAACGCGTCAGCGGCTTACCTCACAAGCTTCTCCCTCTTCAGCTCCATCCCCAAGAAACGAGATCGAACGCGACGCCTCCCCCTACCGACCCTTCTGGAACCCGAATCTGCACCCTCCTCCCCAGCTCAAAGAGAACACACCCAGAAGAGCAGGAGTCACGAGCTGATCCGGACAAGGGTCATACCAGGTTTCCTAGTACATACCAATTCCTGGGGCATTTCTTTAAACTCAACTTTGGTTTGACTGGGTAACTTGGTAACGTGGGTGTGTTGAGAAAGGCAGCGACACGGTGACAGACAGACCGGGGGAGTCAAAGCGGGAGTTGACGGCAGTGGGCAGGCAGTGACGATGGGGAATGATTTTCACCTTCACCCATCATCGCCCGATCACCAACCTCCCAACGCCTCTTCTTGTCTCCTTCTTGAGCTTTGGGCCATGTCTGTAAGTTTCCTGGTTCTGATGTTCGGGCCCAGGAGTGGGTGTGGGGTGGACTTGGAAAATTTCAGCTTCCACGTGACATCGCCATCGTCCCATCCATCAACCTGGCAAAATTTAATTGCGGTTTGTCTGGATTGACTTTTCTTCCAAGTCTTCGTGATGCGCATCTCGTGATTTGATTTTTTTTTTTAATTTGAAATTTGCAACATGTACGTATTGATACGTGCATTCACTTGCAAATGTTTCCTTCTGTCTATATATATATATAAAATAAAGCTTTGTGTCCCGACATTAGTTACATTTACTACTTATATAGATTTTTTGTTTTGTTTTGGATCACGAACTGTGACTTTTCTAACTCGAAATATGAAAAATATATTTGTGCACGTAAATCAAGATGTTCTTACATTGCACGGGTTTAAAACTATACTTAGTATTATTCTTAATATTGACATCAGAGTGAAATTATGCCAGCGAAAAGATATGCAAAAGTTCATATCAATAAAAAAAATCATGCTAAAATGTATAGGGAGCATTGTTTAGAATGAATTTGAATCGCTTCATGTAAATTTTGCTCGTGGAAAAGGTGAGCAAGCCAATGTTTAAAATCTTTCTTGAGTGTAAACTCGTTTCTTCTATCTTTTCCATTTGCTCATCTCTATTTATAGAGAGTTGAGCTAATTTCTTCAATATCATCTCCCAATTCCATCTTTTTTAATCGAAATTTTCTCCTCTGTCTTGGTAACTATTGATGTCTACATTTCTCTTCTTTCTCGCAAGAGTTAGGTGGTTATTTCATTGTCCATGACAATGGATCACAAAGAGATTTGTTATATATATTGCGAAAATATGCAACATTTAATATGTACTTTCAAAGAAACTCACAATATTTCTTTCCTCTAGAATGAATATGTAGAATTCTATTAGTTTATTTTCGACATAAAGATACCAGAAGTGCTAAAAGTTTCATACGACGCTCACTTTAGTGTTAAAAGTTTTTTTCAGATCACTTAGAGTGCCATTTAAAATAAAAATAACTACTTAAGTACCAACTCTAATTCGGGTCGATTTCTTTTTATCAATTTTTTTGACCCATGTGACTTGCCAACGTGCAGAATAGCATTAATAGTCCCAAACAACGTTGTTTTACATGTTTGCACCAAAAATAAACCTTAATTTTATGTCGCAAAAGCTCTAGTTCCAGCTATATTCATCGGTCATTTTGTGTTGGAGGTGGGACGTGGCTGCAGTGGTGGCTAGGGGTAAGCGCGGTTCCAGGGCAGAACCGGGAACCGGAGAACCGGACCCGGTGGATCCGGTTAGGTTTCAAGTTCCATGGACAGAGGGTCCGGTTCCCGATTCCCCATTTTTAGGAACCGGCTGTTCCGGTTCCGGTTCCTGATTCCTATAGGAACCGGAACCGGAACCTTGAATTGGAATCGGAACCAAAAACATAAACTTAGTATTAGAAACCCTAATTCCCAAATGCTTCCTTCTCCTCCTGAATCACACCCGATTCTCCAAAGCTCTCTCCCGCTTCCGCTTCTGCCTCGCTCCCTCTTCCGCTTCCGCCTCGCCCTTGCTCCCGCTTCCGCTTCCGCTTCCACGGTTCTCTCCCACTTCCGTCTCGCTCCGCCTTCTTCGCCGCAGGTCCTGTGACCTCCCCACACGGATTCGCTCCGATTATTTGGGCTCGCCGCCGTCTTCCTCCTCTAAAGCTCCGTCGCTTCGATTAGATTAAACATCAACCCTACCTTATAAATACCGACCGCGCTGCCTTATTGCCTTCCCAAATCTCTCAAATTTTCTCTCGGGGCCTAGCGTTTGTACTCTCGTTTCAAGAAACGCAGCATTGTTCATCGATCTCGGTACATATTCTTGCTCTCCTTTTGATTCTTGAATGACTCGATTGGGCTTTGTTCGTTGATGCATTGCTAATCTCTTCGTAGATTGCGCGTAGTTCGGTGTTCACGATCGAATAGGGAGGTTTCGATTTTCTGGGTCGTCTTTGTCTTTCGATTTCTTGTGAAAAACCAGGCACTAATTGCGAAATTCATTGGAATCGTTGTCTTTTCTGCGTTTTTGATTGGGACTGAGCGGGTATGGAAGAATCAGGGGAAAGAATTGTTCTTTCGCGATTTTGGATCGATAGAGAGATTAGATTGAATTGTTTGAGGCTTTTCGTGGAAGGGTAGTCTGACTCTTATAATGGCATGATAGAGGAAGACTTTTGTCTCTTGATCCTGTGATCTTTTTGATGAGTGAAACTGAATAAAAAAGGGGTTTTTAATGTTTTCGCGTAGTGCATCGATTTCCTTATCTTTCCTGAGAAACTAGAGTAGAATCAGAAAGAATTTCACCTGAGGCATATTTTCCATTCATCACAATAGTAAGAGTTCTCAATTGGGTTTTTATTATCAAGTGGAGATTACTCTTTCCGGGGCTTCTCCATTTCTAATTTTATTTTTCTTTGCTTAAATTGACTTTTGAATGCCCTTTTTTTATTTTGGATTACAAATTTTAAACTTTTGTGTGATAAGTAATTCTGGCCTGTATTATTGACCTGAACTGCATAGATTGAATGCACGGGTGCCAGGGTTAGGCCTGTATGAGCATTACATTTGGGATTTGTGGATTTATCATGTTTGATTGATTGCAGACTAAAAGCAGAAGGAACTAGAGCTATGGGGAAGAGAAAGTCTCGGGCAAAGCCACCTCCTAAGAAAAGGATGGACAGACTTGATACAGTCTTCAGCTGCCCTTTCTACAACCATTAACTTTGAAACTGCGCGACATGTTTTGTTTTTTGAAACAGTGCATGATTATATCATAAAAAGCTTTTTATAGATTTAAGACCATTTTCCTACTAAAGTGTGTGCTGATATTTTCTTTAAAGTATTAGATGAGGCCCTCTCAGCTGATGTTGTGCATTTCCAAGCATTTAACAATCTTGATGTATAATAGTACCGCACAAAAGCACAAACTAATCATTGAATCTCGCTGTCATCTAATTCTCGATGTTTAATCTAATCAACATTATCATGTTTTCTGTTAATCCGTTGGCACTTCTTTATTTTGCGTGAGCGCGTGACTAGAGATATTATACAAGGTTTTGGCTTTCTTCTTGCTTTGATCATAGTGAATCATCTAGGGATGATTTGGCGATGCACCTTTATTGTGAATGATAGGTTTTCTTCTTCTTTTTTTCGAGGGGGGGGGGGTGTTTGATTGTATTGTATGGAATGGAATTGTAACCTGGAACCGAAATTAAAAAAAAGAACCTGTTGGAACCTGGAACCGACCCTGGAACCTGTGACAGGATAGGTTCCAGGTTCCACGTTCCGACGAGTAGGTTTTAGGTTCCACGTTCCGACGGGTAGGTTCCAGGTTCCTCATTTTGAGGAACCTGTACCCGAGGATAGGTTCCAGGTTCCAGGCGGAACCTACCCGGAACCTGGAACCGCTCACCCCTATTAGCAGCTGTTCTCGCAGCCAGTGGACATTGACGAACAAAAGGATTGGCGGTTTCCTTTGAAGCAGTGGAAGAAAATAACCGTCTCCTATTTTCAATTACCTTCAAGTTCTACATGTAAACAACAGAATATGGTTATGACTGAACGCATGTGATTATCCAAGACACATCAATAACCAACTTAATTGAGTCCAGCAATAGCAAAGCAAAGTTAGATAACTCTATGAACTAGGGAGGCATTCCACATGTGAACCTCCAGCAGCTTCTGGACTTTACCTCGGTTCGCATGGTTAGAACTTCTATGAACCATTTTGCAGCGCTCATGAATCGATTTTTCAGGTCATCTACAACCGTAGTTGAATGACTAGCCGTGTCACTGGAGACACTGCCCTCATTCGGGGAATTGCAAAGGAGCTGAAGATCTACCACAGCAGAGTTGAGAGCAGTAATATCCTGCTTGATTACCGCAGTAAGCTCCTGAATTTCCATAGTTGGATCATCAAAAACCGTGGTTCTCTTTGTCACTGCAACCAGAAATGTAGTTGATTGGTTGTTTAGAGATGTCTTTAGTGGAACAACTATCTATAATGCAAAACCGAGACCCAAGCAAACTGTCACACCTCTGAGGTCACTCTAGACAATGCCAAATGTAACAACGCTACTAAGAAAAGACAAATATATGGTTTGCCCAGGCATGGATCGAACATGTAACGATAACTGCAGATGAAACAGCTGCTATTTCTGAACTATTCGGATCCTTACATTTCACCAACTTCGCAAGCTTCTGGGACGTCTGATGTATCCCAAACCCGATTTTCGAAGCCCTCCGATTGAACTCGGATTGAAGGGCAACCCCCGATCGCTGTTCTTCCGCCTTGGAACGGATGCTGCTGCTGCTCGGCCCATTCGGTCCCGGCCCATTTGAAACCGACTTCTTTAATCTCTCCCCTATACTCTGAAACTCCTGCGTCCAATCCCGAAAAGACGACTGCGCAGCCTTTCCCAGCATTTTCTCCAAAATTCCCCACTCCCGTTCTTCTTCGAGCTCTCTACTGAAACATAACCACTGAAACACAAAGAAATTCCCAAAGGATCCCCATCAGATCTACACGTATCACCAAAACGCAAGTGAAAACAGCAAATTCCCCCAACCCTCCAAAACCCAACAGAGACGCAAAATTCGACCCCGAGCAATTCCTAGACCCGGATCGAATTTCGCCACAGACCGCGCGAAAATTCGCCTTTCCAGACTACTTCCAAGAGTATACAATCGAACGGCATTCTCGCTCGCACCACGAAATCGAAACCCCCACCCGCACACGGACGTCAACGCAAATCCAAGATTTCTCCAGTTCAAAAGACCTCAAAAAAAAAAAGGACCAACTCCGATCCACCGACACGGAATTCCACCGTTCCTTGCTCCCTCACGAATCGTTCGCGGCCGCACCGGCGCGACCGACCGGAGCAAAAAGAAACCGCAGCGCCGGCGGATCAGAACTGCTTACCTTCCAAATCAAAGACACCGCCGCGATCCCAGGCAAGATCCGACCCCCTAGGGCTCCTCCGGGAACCCCTGGGAAGAAGAAAATTCCCCCCCGGCGACGACGAGGCGATGAATCGAGGAGATCGCAAGATCCGATCGAAAGGTGTCGGTGTAGAAGAAGATGAAATCGCTGCTTCGTGGCGATTCTTGATGGCCAAAATATACGAATTGGAATATGAAATCTTGCTGTCGCGAGGTCTATATTAGGTCTATTGCTGTGCCGATGAAATATGTGGCAACCCCAAGTGGGTCCACAAATCCACAAGGAAGGATGAATTTTCCTTTGATAATTCACCTAAAAAAAATTAGGAAAAATAACACAAGCAATCCTTGAATTTTGACTCAATATGTAATTTGATCCCTGAACTTTTAATTTATTTAATGTAATTCTTGAATTTTTGGATAATGTGTAATGTGGTCCCTAAACGGGCATTAAATATTTTCATATAGTTGAGAGACCGAACTGAACATGTACAAAAAGTTCAAAGATGACATTGTACAAATTAAAAATTCATGGATCAAATTATATATTGAGTCAAATTTTAGGGATTATTTATGTCATTATCCCAAAAAAATTAGTGTAGTGTTGATAATTGTGTGTCACTAAGATTGGGTTTATTTTAATATTTTTTTTTCTTAAGCAATAAGTTACTTTTGATATGAGTTTACTGAGTTGCCTTTTATATGTTTGAATTGGCGCATTCCGAAAAATTTTGGGATTTTGTATCAAACGGAGATTTGATAGTGAAAATATTTTAAATATAAGATTTCAAAAGTGAAATTTATATCTATATAATGAGAAAAATGCGGTCGTCAACTTGCACATTAGCTAGAAATTATACTTCTAACAATTAGTAGATTTTCTCAAGATAACATTGTTTAATTGGTGATGAATCAAATAAGTAACCTAACAAAGTGGGATTAATTATGACTAGACCCAATGCGCGCTGCTTACGTCGTCGACTCCGAATTTTGGCTGGAGATGCCGATTCAAGTTTTAATTAAAAAGAAGCATAACTTTTTTTTTTTGACATTTGTCTAACTACATTTAGATAGTGCACAGCGACGATTAATTTTGGTTTTCGGATTTAGGTGCCGAACCATAAAATAGCATGTGGATTCATCTATAATTAATTCGACCTTATATCATAAGTTGGTCTTAAAGTAAATAGATATCTCATTTGTGGGAAATGAATGATTTGGAAAACATTATCCTAAGAATAAAATCACTCGCTTCGCTTACGAAAATAATTTTTATCGTCCATGATAATGAAATATTTTCCGGTCACTTATTATTTCAAGTTACATAAAGGATTATTTTAGAAAAAATATTTTCCAAATTATTCATGCGATACGTAACTAGTCGCACACGCTCACAGAAGTCACATTTCTGCAGCGTTCCTTCTCCTCGTGCCTTGCCATGCAAGCGCTCTCCACAGTCTAAAGGACTTGCTGGCTTGATCTGAGTTTGCGCCCGTGGCGACCGAGTCGACTACCGCGACGATTTCGGGCACCCCAGTGAGGGCAGCGATTGTTGCGACGGCCATCGTTGCGGTTGCTGTAGTGTTGAAATTGCATACTGCTCCTGTACTCGAGACTTGCAATGACTGTGACAATGCGGACCCTGATCTCGAGCATGCCCGTGGTGACTGTGTCTGCAATGGCGATGGCTGTACATTCATATCAGAAACCGCCCTTGTACTCGATGGTCGTGACCAAGATGACGACGCGGACCTCGAATGCGACCCCAGGCTTTTTGTGCGTATGGCAACTGAGTCGACTGTCGATTTGGCAGTTGCGACACCCGTCAGGCAAGAAAATATGCCAATCCAGTACTCAAGCACTGCGGTTCGCTTTCGCCATGTGCTACGATGGACCACTGCGACGGTGATTATGACCTGGTAGGCGAGTACGAGCAACACCGTTACGGCAACAACGTGGACCTTGGTGGGGATGAGAGATTTCGTGCCAATGGTGACTGCATCGACCGCGACGGCGATGACTGTCGTGGTGCCAAGCATGGCCGCGCCGAATGCCTACATGACGATGTGGACAGCTCCTCGGGATGGTGACGAAGAAGAGGATGACTGCAATAAGAAGCTGCGGCGAATGTACCGACCCATAAAGAATGTTACTAGTTTCGAGTTGATCGAGTGATGATTGTCGTATCATGGCAGAACGGAATAGAAGCGAACATGTCTTTGTCTAGTGTCGTCCAAGAGATGATGCGCTAAAGAAACGCCTCCATGTCCCCCTTTACATGATTCCAGCTATTACGACAGCTAACACCAGCAGAACTACCGGCGCGATCATTGATATCTCTCTCTCTTGCTTCAGTTCGGTTCGGTTCGGGGTCGGGTCCGGCTTTTTCGACGGCCCTAGTCTCTATAAAAAGAAAAGGAAGAACAACTAGCCTACAGATCAACGCATTATTTAGGAGATGGAAGCCACGAAATAGCTCCGGCTTTAGTTATTTGTACTTCTTTGACGTCATTGAATGCTGGAAAAACATTACTCTTTACGATCCCTGTAAAATTTACCAGAGCATCTACGGAGAAACAGCAGCTCTACATATCTCCTTCGACGAGAAAAGTTGTCCGTAATTTTGCATAGATGAGAATGTGATTACTTAATCTGTTCACTACGCAGGGAAACGCTTCGGGTGCAGGCTAGCAAATTACATTTTCCGGGTATCAGGGAGTTCCGGTCAGGTGATCCTGATGTATTGGATCCAGCTGAGTCGACAATCTTCGTCCGGCCATTCAGGCAAAATGAATCCATGGACATGCACATCTACTCGGAAAAAAAGTTTCGAGAGTATGAACGAAGTTTAAGGCAATCCAACATGGGCTTTTAGTGCATGAACAGATTATGCGGATAAGGATGATAATCTTGGACGAGCTAACTGCCCGAAGGAACACGTCTATTACAACAGAGTAAACTATTGTTCACGTGCAGGGACGAGATCCGAATTTTACTGCCGATACGAACTTACTGGGACTAATGGAAGCAGCGAATCATGGGAACAGGAGAACGGCAATAAGTAACCGCCTTCTTGCATTTGAAATGAATCTCCTATACAGTGTCCGGCCAAAACACCACGTACCCTCCTCCTTCATAATGTTGGAATTGAGTTCTCGATAGCAACTTTACCCTTGCCTCTCACACTGTGTGTGAAATCTGTCAATCGCCATTCCTCCTCATTGCTGCAAAAATTTGAATACCGTTATGCTCCTGCTCAGACAATTTCAACTGTAGCAATGTCAATAATCTGTCCAAGAAAAGATCATAGACCGCGGCAATTTAAAGAAGCACAGTATTTGTTCAATCACATAAGGTTATTTATACTGCAGTAAAACGGTAGCAGAACCAACCATAGTGCTAGAAATTCCAGAATTGTCTCTATGTTGCCTTCTTCAACCTTCGGTTCCAATCGGTGGTATACTAGGCAACACAGAAACAATAATTGACTCTAGAAAGAGTTTCAAATGACAAGCAATTTGACTCAATAGCAGATCATGGGGTTTCTGATGCGATCAACAGCTTCAATTTCGAAGAACCACACAGAAGAATACGATCTAGATGCAATATCAAACATATAGGATGATCACAGTATTTCCTAAAAAAGCATTTACACCGCAGCTGTTCAAAGATAGGATGAAGTTTGTGCAAGTGTACCGTATGAGTAATTCAGAGCTCCAAACAAATGCTCGGCCCGTAAGAAGTAAGTGCAAAGTAGTTTGGACTGGCAGGTAGCAAACAACACTGCAAAAGAATACAGATTTTACCTGGGGAGCAACGGGGGTGGTGATGATGATGACAGCGACGGCGACCCATTAGCCCATGGGGGAGGTGGAGCTGCTGAGGCATTAACAGCTAGGGGTGAGCGCAGTTCCAAGGTAGAACCGGAAACCGGAGAACCGGACCCGGTGGATCCAGTTAGGTTCCAAGTTCCAGGTTCCATGGACAGAGGGTCCGGTTCCCGATTCCCCATTTTTAGGAACCGGCTGTTCCGGTTCCGGTTCCCGGTTCTTATAGGAACCGGAACCGGAACCGGAACCTGGAACCGGAACCTTGAACCGGAACCTGAACCAAAAACATAAACTTAGTATTAGAAACCCTAATTCCCAAATGCTCCCTTCTCCTCCTGAATCACACCTGATCCTCCAAAGCTCCCTCCCACTTCCACTTCTGCCTCGCTCCTCGCTCCCGCTTCCGCTTCTGCCTCGCCCTCGCTCCCGCTTCCGCTTCCGCTTCCACGGTTCTCTCCCACTTCCGCCTCGCTCCGCCTTCTTCGCCGCAGGTCCTGTGACCTCCCCACACGGATTCGCTCCGATTATTTGGGCTCGCCGCCGTCTTCCTCCTCTAAAGCTCCGTCGCTTCGATTAGATTAAACATCAACCCTACCTTATAAATACCGACCGCGCTGCCTTATTGCCTTCCCAAATCTCTCAAATTTTCTCTCGGGGCCTAGGGTTTGTGCTCTCGTTTCAAGAAACGCAGCATTGTTCATCGATCTCGGTACATATTCTTGCTCTCCTTTTGATTCTTGAATGACTCGATTGGGCTTTGTTCGTTGATGCATTGCTAATCTCTTCGTAGATTGCGCGTAGTTCGGTGTTCACGATCGAATAGGGAGGTTTCGGTCTTCTGGGTCGTCTTTGTCTTTCAATTTCTTGTGAAAAATCAGGCACTGATTGCGAAATTCATTGGAATCATTGTCTTTTCTGCGTTTTTTATTGGGACTGAGCGGGTATGGAAGAATCAGGGGAAAGAAATGTTCTTTCGCGATTTTGGATCGAAAGAGAGATTAGATTGAATTGTTTGAGGCTTTTCGTGGAAGGGTAGTCTGACTCTTATAATGGCATGATAGAGGAAGACTTTTGTCTCTTGATCCTGTGATCTTTTTGATGAGTGAAACTGAATAAAAAAGGGGTTTTTAATGTTTTCGCGTAGTGCATCGATTTCCTTATCTTTCCCGAGAAACTAGAGTAGAATCAGAAAAAATTTCACCTGAGGCATATTTTCCATTCATCACAATAGTAAGAGTTCTCAATTGGGTTTTTATTATCAAGTGGAGATTACTCTTTCCGGGGCTTCTCCATTTCTAATTTTATTTTTCTTTGCTTAAATTGACTTTTGAATGCCCTTTTTTTATTCTGGATTACAAATTTTAAACTTTTGTGTGATAAGTAATTATGGCCTGAACTGCATAGATTGAATGCACGAGTGCCAGGGTTAGGCCTGTATGAGCATTACATTTGGGATTTGTGGATTTATCATGTTTGATTGATTGCAGACTAAAAGCAGAAGGAACTAGAGCTATGGGGAAGAGAAACTCTCGGGCAAAGCCACCTCCTAAGAAGAGGATGGACAGACTTGATACAGTCTTCAACTGCCCTTTCTACAACCATGGCACAAGTGTGGAGTGCCGCCTGTAAGTTTCAAAGTTCCTTGTGTTTCTGTCTTTTTTCTCCTCTCATAGGAATGAGGCTGTTATAGGTTTATCCTCTGAACACTAACTTTGAAACTGCGCGACATGTTTTGTTTTTTGAAACAGTGCATGATTATATCATAAAAAGCTTTTTATAGATTTAAGACCATTTTCCTACTGAAGTGTGTGCTGATATTTCTTTAAAGTATCAGATGAGGCCCTCTCAGCTGATGTTGTGCATTTCCAAGCATTTAACAATCTTGATGTATAATAGTACCGCACGGAAGCACAAACTAATCATTGAATCTCGCTATCATCTAATTCTCGATGTTTAATCTAATCAACATTTTCGTGTTTTCTGTTAATCCGTTGGCACTTCTTTATTTTGCGTGAGCGTGTGACTGGAGATATTATACAAGGTTTTGGCTTTCTTCTTGCTTTGATCATAGTGAATCATCTGGGGATGATTTGGCGATGCACCTTTATTGTGAATGATAGGTTTTCTTCTTCTTTTTTTTCGAGGGGGGGTGTTTGATTGTATTGTATGGAATGAAATTGTAACCTGGAACCGAAATTAAAAAAAAGAACCTGTTGGAACCTGGAACCGACCTTGGAACCTGTGACAGGATAAGTTCCAGGTTCCACGTTCCGACGGGTAGGTTCCAGGTTCCTCATTTTGAGGAACCTGTACCCGAGGGTAGGTTCCAGGTTCCAGGCGGAACCTACCCGGAACCTGGAACCGCTCACCCCTAGTGGTGGCGTCCATTATTGCGGCGGTTTTCTTGGGGTGATCATCACCGTGTCTTGAGTTGCTTCTGTCTTTGCTGTCGTTGCCGTTGCCTGAGCCGTTGCTCTCGATGGAAAATAGGGTCGCCCGTCTTCGGATCTTCCATTGAAGCTCAGGGAAAGGATCGATACCCCGATCTTCTTCAACCCGAAGAAGAACGTGTTAGAGAAAGTGCAAATTGCAAAGGGGATAGAGAGGGAGCGTATGAGTGAGCGATAAGAGTCCTCATAGAGAGAATAGGCTTGAGCTCCCCAAATTGACAAATCGGGGCTAAACTAGGGCATAGAAGCAAATCGAGCATCGGTATTGTGTTCTTCTTCACGCTCAACCTAGGACCAAAGGATAGTTATTGATGTCCTCGATCGCGAGCCCCTATTTATGAAGAAAATCAATTCACTCCTTTGTGACCTCGACCGTAACCGGAAGCTCTAGCCCATCGAGCGTGTTGGGGACAAATCACAATCTCTCTATCTCTCTCATTCAAGCCCTCATGGCGATCGAACCTCCCTTTGTGGATGGATACAATTGTCCTAGCTTGGCGAAGGCGAAGAGCGAGAGAGATTTCTCTAGTGCTTGTTTTGTGATTATAGACCACCTCATCGTCCACATAGAATTTCTTTTATTTATTTATTTATGAGAAAGCCACCTAGACATTAACATACAATTAAAAAAGTCATGTAATGTTTTTGGCCAGAATTTGTCGCTAGAAGCACTTAAGTGATCATTCTTTCTCTAATTTGATACTTGAGTGAGACGGCAAAATTTTTTGACACTAAAGCGAGTGCAGTATAAAATTTTTGGCACTTTTAGTGTTTTTATGCCGTTTATTTTCAAACAAAGACAGCTCACTTATTCCTTATCGCTGACAACAGTTAGTTGTTAATATAATAGAAGTAAAGTGCTGAGAAATGCAGGTTGAGAGCATCCGAAAAGCAAAATAAAAGGAGTTTACATTAATTGATGCTTCAAGATAATTATTCTCCCAATATTTTGTTAATGTATTTTTACTTAAATTACTATATTTATTATATTGTATAGAAATTCATCTCATAACAGTTATATATTGGCGACCAACACTTAGAAAAAATGATTTTAAGTTAAAAGGAGCATGGGATGTGGTATAAATTACAATAACGTTCCAATAAGATATATCTTAAAGTGTGATGTAGTACTTTATCGTGAAAATATGCATAGAAATTTAGTCAAATAAATTGAAAAAATATTGAAAAATCACGAGAACATAAATAGAGTATTAGAATTATTTTAGTGTATTGAGGAACTATAATAGAATGTTGATCGGTATTGCTTTGGTCGCCTTACAAAATTTACCGAAATTGCTTTATTTTTCCTTAATGAACCCAAACACATTCATTTTGTCTTATACTTTTTAGAGAAGTAACACCTGGGATGAAAATTAACAACATGAAATCCTTGTTATCAATACCAAATGTAGCCATATTCTGTGTTAACATGTGATGAGTATTGACGATAATAAATTGAGTTGAGTGCATCTAATAACAGTAGAATGAATGAGAAATAAGTAAGCTGGTCAAGTCATATTAGCTTCCGATCATAAAAAAAAAAAAGTCATATTAGCTTGTTGCATTTGCATTACTGTATTCGCGAAGATGTCATTGCCATGTCCCGGGAAAGCAACCCAACTGGTGAAGTGAAAAATGTCATTAGCGTTATAGATGAACAGCAAGATTTTAAGTAATCTGAAGGACAACCAAAAAAAAAAAAGGACAAAATGGGAAAAAAATGGAACATACAAGAAGTTTAATTTCAAAGAATAACAATGAATCTGTAGCTTCTCATGTACACCTAGCTCCACCAGGGAGATGCCTACTGCACAAAAAACCGAACGATAGCATCCCAGTATCCAGCCAACTGAGAGAAAGAATCAATCAGTACATTGTAAAGACGTGCAATATGCAAATTTGTGCATTGTCCAGCATTATACTGGTACCTGGCCCAAGATACCCTTTCCAGTTTGACCTTCAACTACCAAGCCTGCCGTGAGACCAATCATCGCCCATGCTCCATTTATCGCTTCAATTTGACGTCTTCTCTGTATCCACAGAATTTCTCAATTCCAGCGAAAGAAAACTCTTTCTATAGCAAAGAGAATATAGAGAATTCGACGATTTTGGGAAGACAAAATAATGTTGGCTTATGCATAACTCGCACAGCAAAAGTGCATACAGGGTGAGTCATTCAACCATCTGAACCATTCTACCTCTTATCCAATTTCAAAGTTCATATTGATTTATCCATGAGTAACCAACAACTGGATCAAGATGTTAAGAAGAAAACAAACACAAATAATTTGACTCTAAAGATATCAACAGAAAAGTACTAATAACTACGGATGAACACAAGAAAAAGAAAATTCTGGACCCTATGTGTAAAGCTTCTATGTGGAATTCACCAGTTTCTTCCCTAATGGGCATATATCAGCCATAAGCTAGTCACGAGACTCACTAATCAAGACCAAAATGTTTCCACCCTACGTTTTCACATAAAGGATGGGAATCTAGACTACACTGGGTACAATAATATAATGCAAGCGACACCCCAGTAAGTGGGTCGCCGATAGATGTCTCTATATCTCTTGATGCACATTTACTTACCTGAAATTTCTCTTTTGCTTTAAGTCGTTGCATTTGCTGAGCAGCTAAACGCTTGGCTTCCAAAGGATCTACCATGATCACATCATTTATGGAATTTTCTCTTCCTGAAGACATCTGCTCGGTTTATAGGAGGAACAGAGAGATTCATCACAATGATATATTCTCTTCCTTAATTCCATTGCTTAAAAACAACAGGAAAACATGGTAAATGACAGAACTCAAGATAATGGCACAAACATTCAGAATTAAGTTAAGCTAAATTTTTTGATTCCATGCATTAATCTCATTATGCAAAAAAGGGATGGGCCATATGAGTTGAAGATCTCATCACAGGGCAAACTGAGGAAAAGATAAGATCAATACAGCATATTCATCCACCTGCTGTCCAATGCTGTTATTGCTGTAGTTGCTCCATTACTTCAATAGAGAATGGTCAAATTACAATGATACTATCCTGAAGATTGAATATCTACTCTTACTTTTATTTTAGGGTTAAGTACAATATTAATTCTCTTAGTTTCAGTAATTGTGCAAATTGTCCTCTAACTTTTATTGTGTTCAATCAAGTCCTCTAACTTTCTTGATTTGTACAAACGGTCCTTTAAGTTTTATCTTGTACAATCAAGTCTCTAATTTTCTCAAATCAATTGCTCTCATTAAACTGTCAGATTAATTAATGACGTGGCATTGTCATTGTGGCAAAAAGTGTCACGCAATGCTAAGATAACGCCCAATTAGCGATAAACAAACTAAGGAAAAAAAAAACCCTAATTTGATAAGGTACAACGGGTAAATGAAACACTTGATTGCACAAATCTAGAACGTAGGAGGACTTAGATGAACAAACAAAAACTTGCACGACCAAATTGCACAAATTGAGAACTATGCAGGACTTGATTGCATAACACAAAAGTTAGAGAACCAAATTGCGCACACACTGATAATTTAGGATAAAACTGTACTTAACCCTTTATTTAACTTTTTTTTTGGATAAATAGAGACCAAATTTCATATTAGGAGGCATGAAAAAAGAAAGATTAATCTTTACATTTCTAAACATCTTGATGTTAAAAACTACATTTTCTGAGATCTCTTTAATATTGTCAGATGTACAAGTGAAAGATCAAGCATTTGGTACAGATAAGTATCTGCCTGGACACTTCAAGTGGTATTTGAATTGGAATTTATGAAAAGTCAGGTCAGCACATACGAGTAGCTACTTAATCTAGAAACCATGTTAATTCATTTTGCATGAAGCAATTACTTCAAGCTCAATAACCTCACACAATTTCACAGATACTTGTAACTTGGTAAAGACTCCAGGGACTGGATACAGCGAACAAATGTCACTTTTCTTAAATTGTTATACCATCTGTAATGGAAATAAAACCCCATATGTCATCAAGGCATTAGTTAGCATCTGAATAATTCCTCAGCAAATAAGCTGTCTCAAGCTTAAGGTATTCTATATTCATTTTGCTTAAGCTATATCATCCAGAGCTGATCCATATGAATGCCATTTCTGGCTAAACCTCCGGACTAACTCCATGCCGAAGACACTTGGCAAATCGATTACATCATAGTATGTTTAGATTGGCGCACAGCTGTACAGTTCCTTCTATTTGATAATTGCTTTAATTTGTGATGAATAACTAAGGATAAAAATGGGAAGCAGTGTCCAAGCCTCAAAGTAGACGTTGAGTTTGTCCTATATCTACTAAAGTACATCTTGAGCTGCCAAACAAGTAATGAGGGCCACACAAAAGGGCCCCTACGACAACATGTTTTTTGTGTCAATCAAGGTTACTGTAATTTGTTTGTGATAGCATGAACCTGGGTCCTTAAATAGTCAATTGATGGACCTAAAATTAGATGTAACAGTAAATATATGAGTGTCTCTCTCAACAGTGTCAAGGTTGCTGTGTTTGAAAGCTTCGACGGAGAACTTGTGGAAGAATGATGTTTCCACATAAATCGAAGTGGAGTAACATGTGTCCAACTTCTTAACCACGCAAAATTGAGATATACCCACCTCATCAAGTGATTAATCCACCAACCCATCGTCCCCTACCCACCAAAATTACCCATTTGCCACCCCTATAAGACACACTGGACTTCTTACACTGATAATCTGACATCACCTATGCAAACAGAATACATGTATCGTAACTCATGTGACATTCATCTTGGATCCAAAAGAAACGGTGCAACCTATATTGATCTAACTTTTCTTCAAAGTGGACTACCATGCAAATTACAGCTTCTCATGATCTTCTACAAGTTCTCCTGCAGTTTACCATGATTATAGTAAGAAGCATATCCATATATCAGCGATTCAAGCTCCACCAATTTTACTTTTCACATGCCATGTAAAAAGAAGCTAAAATGAATAACCAGCCACATCACAAAACACCAAAATAAGGGATGCCAACTCATAGGCCTCGTCCATAATACCAACAGAAACGCACTCTCATCATAGATATAGAATTGCTTGATGCTTACATTAGGGCTTGCCAATACCCGGAAAGCCTGACCCCTGGTTTTGTCGGCAGATGGTACTGAACCGGATTGTGTTGTCAAACCCTCTCTGACAAATAACCTATTCATATCACAAAGTCCAGTCGCAACATCAAGCACCTTATCATGGTTTCACTATAGTCCCCTAGAACATCTTTAAACCATTACGCAAGATAACACAACAAGATGGCAGGAAAAGAAAAAAGGGAAAGCTCATCTGCATCTGCTGCATCTATTATTCATGGACAGGAAGTAAAAAAGAAAGCCTTTTTTCTGGAGACCTAAATGGTAAAAAGTCATTACAATCAGATCTTACTTCTAACAGTAAATATACACACTATAATTCGATGGAGCAAGACCAAAGCGCCAATGCATTTACACCCACACCGCGACAAAATCAAATTTTTTCCAGAAAAAGTGGACTAGCCCAACCACCATGAACAGACCACCGGAACATCTATCCCCTACACCTTAAAACGGGAACTCGGATACCAAAACGAGGAAGCAATCTGTTTCATCAAAATTCACTTCAGCTCCATTTTCGATCATGTACGAAACAGAGACAGCAGCCACGCAGCTGAAATCGCCACCGAAGCTCGAACAAATTATGGGTTCCCGTCAGGAACAAGCATTTGGGTTGGCTCCCGAACAAAAAACTCTTCACGGTGAATAAGCAAGCGACGACCCACATGGAACGAACCGCAAGAGGCTCCAGTTCTCAGCTCCTACTCGCGAAGACAGAGAGAGAGAGAGAGAGTTACCTGAGACGGGTGGCGAAGCGAGGAGGGAAGCGCCGCGAGGAGGAGGAGGAGGAGGAGGAGAGGGAGAGGCGTCCACGACAGTGACGGTGGCAGGGCAAGAGAGAAGGAGAGGCCGACGCCATTCCTGAGCAGCTCGCTCGCTCCACCTCTTTGACTGTTTGCGTTCGTGCTTAGCCTTTCGTTTCTCCCAGTCTTTTCCCGCAGAAAATTTGCTTTTTTATTTTATTTTATTTCGATATGGCAAAATAAAAAGAAAAGGAACAATTTTACTTTGATAATATAATTATATTAAGGTCCACTTTCACTTATGCAGCCTAGCAATTCATCCCATACACTTAATAAAATTTAAAACTTTGTTGGCATAATTCTCATATGAAAAAACACCAATTTTAGGTTAGGTCTCAATTTGAGTCCGCTAATTTTTGGTCGGGTCACAATTCTGGCCCGATCTCTTTTGTTTCATAAGAAAATACTCCCTTTCAGTCGGTATCCAAATTCGGACCGTGTCGAGTTTCCGTCCAGTGATACCGTTAAAAGGGGCCTAGATTTGAATACCAACCATTAGAACTTTGTTGGCATAATACTCTTAAAATAACACCAATTTTAGGTTAGGTCTCAATTTGAGCTTGAAAGATTTTTTTGTCCGGTAATAAAACACCAATTTTAGGTTGGGTTACAATCCTTGCCTCAACTCTTTTGTCTCGTATAAGAAAACCCATCAAATCTAGTCTTTATCGAGTTTCCTTCCGAGGGATGCTGTCAAAAGTGCGACAAATTTGAATACCAACCAAAAGTTGGCGCTTTTTCATAAAAAAAAGAAAAAAAAAATCGGATCAGAATTGAAATAGATCATCAACACTCTGCTTCGCACGTATCTTTTAATTGAATTTCCGGGGAAGAGAGTTCATCAATATTGTGGAATGCTGAAATGGATGAATTATGGTTGAAAACAAGATCTCCACGAGCTTTTCAAATCAAAGCGAAGATTCACGCCAGTGGAGTACACTTTGTAGACTAGTCTTAGCATGTATACAACGAGGAATCTTGGCTCAACTAGATCGGATGCTCGAGCAGCGACTTCAGTAAGTTACACGCCTTCGCGGGACAAGGTAAATACGCGATTGGAAACACAAGTGTGTCCCCGCACGACACACTAGTATTTTTACACATGCAAAAATGACATTCCAAATCGAATTCGGCGGCGCCATCTCCGGTTGCTGTCACCGCCACGTATCTCTTCAGCAGGGGCAAGGGGGACCGGAAAATTGCAGACTTGGTTCTTTCTGACCTGTGATTCTGCTGAACTCACTTGTATTTTTCCATTATTTTTCTAGCTTCTTCTGCGGGATCGTCCATCGGAGGGGCACCGCCACCCCCTTTTGGTCCGTCTCCACCCCCTTTTGGTCCATTGTCTTTATTTAAGGCGAGGAACATGAAATATATGAGTCCCATGGTGGCCTGAGAATCAGAAGAAGGGTCATTTAATATATCATCTACCATGTTCTGAGGACAAGAGAAAAGGGATAAAAATCTTCCAAGAACATGGTATCAGGACATCGGATATTCCTAAACTTCTTTCAACTCTTTTGAAACATGGTAGAAGTTATTTCTTTTCCGAGCAAGATATGGGAGGGACAAGGCTTTCCATGCCTAAGTACCTATATACAGATATTATGAGTAAGGGCATAAGTTTTAGCACGATTGTGACCTCTCAATCACCTGAGTTTAGAACAAAGGGTGTAAGAAAGCAGGATATATATCCCAGGAGACACATTTATGGTTAAACAGAAGAACAAGTGAATCTGACAGACAAGCTCAGTGAAGGCAAAAGGAAAAGGTCAGAGGATAGACACATAATTATATACATTTTTCAGGGTGAACGCCTGTTCCGAGGTTTATCAATGCAAAGAACTTCTACTTGGAATCTACATTCACAGGCTTTGAATTTTGAAGGCGAATATGCAAATTGACAACTTAATAAGCACGGGGGAGCACAATAGCCAAAAAGATTAACACTTGTCGACTTCGGAATTGGCCCAACTCATAGAATGGAAGTAAGGAAATGAATGGAATCCTAGCATCAGAACTAAAGTCAGATGCACTAACAATTCAAGCTCTGCAGATGTGACCTTCTTGACCAATATATTGCTCTCCTCTCCAAATCCAGAAAAATTCTAGTCAGCTAAAAGAAATGCAATTGTTGGTAGAAGTCTATGCTCATCCACAATTCCTCTATTTCCAAGTTCATGGTTTTGATTTAGGAGAACAGGACACATGATATTGTCCCATTCCAAATGCTAGCCTCCCATTGTTTTAGTTCTAGACAATCCTAGGTTAAAAGACAACAATAAACCAGAATAAAAAGGTAGAGATACATCTACCATATTCATGTATCACTTATCAGGCTGGCTCAAAAGTTAGACAGACAGTGCAATCATACACACTGTAAATGGAACTACATAAATTCTAAATTCACAACGAACAGAGGTAGATTGAAGCAGAGACTTTACCAGAACAAAGAAGGCAGTGGATAAGAATGACTTCAGCACAAAAAGCGCAACGGAAAACCCAACGAAAGTAACCGAAATCCTCGCTACAGGCCTCGGAACAGCATCCTAAACAAAAAAGAACATCAACAAAGCATCACAACGTGATTGTCGAAAGCACATGCGAACAGTTTCGAAAGAATCATAACAAAGAGAGAAGAACAGCACTCACGGGCACCAAATTCGTCCCCGCTTCAATTGCATCCCTCCCCACTTTCCAAACCGTTTGAGCAACTACACCATAGAGAGCGCAAAAGGGAATCAGCAGGTAATAACAAATTTTTCATTCGACACACGCCTAGAGTCAAGTCATCACTGGTTAGTTTTAGTTTTACCAACAACCACACTTCTTTAGCGCCTTTCATAAAAAAATGTCTGCTCGTGAGCATTCTACTTTCAGCTCTGCCAAAAGCTAACAGCTAACCCGCTAACAATGCAACATCAAACCACCCAACCATCAAATCCATCCCACAACTATGCTTCAGTCGCAAACAAACCGCCACGATCGTCATCGATCAACACACCCCATTTACTAAAACAGCCAGAGAACCTCACAAACAGCCGTGAATTGAGACTACCCAGAAGTTCCTACGGTGAAGTGAGCCTGACCCTTTAAGAAGTTCGACTGGAAAGCGACGACGGGGGACGAACGGCGGCCCCCGAGCCTCCTGGTCGGACCGTGCGGACCGGTGCATGGGAACGAAGCGCGGTTGGTTGGTCTCGAATTGGGCAGCTTGGAGGGAAGCAATTGAGCTGTCGGGCACTTCGAAGGGCGAGGTGGAATGTGGAGGAGACTGTGCAGAAGGGTTGAAGACGCCATGCGTGGGTGGTCGGTAGCTGCCCCTGTTCGAGAGATCGAGAGGGAGCGGGAGAGAGAGTGTGCTACCGCCGCAGAAAGGATGGAGAGAGAGGGTCCACCGACGACCACCCGTATGCAGAAAGCCCGATCCATGTCGAGGACATGGGTTGAAGTTGCAGAAAGTACGTTGGGCCTGCGGCCTAGTTAGCTTTAGCCTCCGCAAGAATCATCAATATCGCTGGTATAAATAAGGCTGTGCAACCTGACCGCCTATAAAAATAGGTTCGGTTTCTTATCCTAAATTTTTGGAATCGATATTGTGCGGGTTGGAACCGATTTTGTGCTGGTAGGTTCCAAGTTTCGAGTGTTGAACCCACCCACTCACCCACTCGAAATCAGTTAGAACCTGTTTTTTGAAGTTGGAAGAAGATGATTTATTATTCTCAAACGAGTTTAACTTCCTTATTGCTTTATATTTATGTTTGTTTTGTATCGATATTTTACTTTGAACAAATTTTAATGCTCATACTATTTTGCTATAATTTCTATTTGTCTTGGTTTTTTAAAAAAATGAAACAAAAAAAAAGAAATCAAAATTTGGGTAGATCTTAGAACCAGACCAGATAAAAAAGGTTGGTTTCAGGATCGGTTCCAAGATAAATATAGTAGGTTTTGGGTTAAAAAAATGGAAACCAATTTTAACAAGGTAGATTCCAGGTTCCACGTCTAGAACCTACTATCCACCCTGAAACCGATCACCCCTAGAATATATGGGAGCACCTCTTCCATCGGATATGATAGTCCCTCCGATCCAAACATAGAGTAATTACCGAAGAGGCATGAAGTTGGAGTGATGTATTGTATATCTCTTCCGATCAAAATCATCAAAGTTGGAGTTGAGATAATGTTTCTGTAGGTGCTAGCCACCCGATGCTCAACTCTGGACGCTTGATTGTCACACAACAAGCACGAAGCTTGAACTTGTTGCGCAACCCACGTTTCACCAATAAGTTTTAGGGACTAATTGGTATGGTTGCATAATATTTGGGGGAAAATTACCAAAAAAGTCCTAAATATATTGCAATTGTGTCAATTCAGTCCTAAATTTTTTTTTTGTCAATTTAGTCATAAATCTTTTGTATTTGTGCCAATTCAGTCCATTTGAGCAATTTTGGCTGTCCGGCCAACGGTCCGAAGCTAACGTGGCAATTTTTTTAATAATTTATTTTATTTTATTTTATTCGAATTTTTAATAATATTTTATTTTTTAGTTTTTAGTTTCTTTTTCTTTTTTCTTTTCTTCCTTCTTTTCTTTTTTTTTCCCCACAGTGGTCGACAAGGGTCGTGACCCTCGTCTAGATTTGGGGCCCATATTGCGAAGCCTGAGGCTGCGTGCGAGACGGCCTCGCCATGGCCTTGTCACCTTGCAGCTAGCGAGGCCATGGCTGCCTTCGCCGGCATCGCCAAGGCCTCATCGACCACAAGCGAAGGTGGCCATGGCCTCCCCCAGATTTGGGCAAGCTTCGCGGGCCTCACCGGCCATTGTGGGAAAAAAAGAAGAAAGAAAATGAAGAAGAGAAAAAAGAAAAGAGAAGAAAAAAATAAAAAAATATTAAAAATTGTCCATGTCACCATTGGCCGGACACCTAGTGTCCACGTCACCGGCCAACTAAAATTGGTCAGATGGATTGAATTAGCACATATACAAAATGTTTAAGACTGAATTGATAAAAAAAGGGTATATAACTGGATTGGTATAATTGTAATAAATTTATGACATTTTTGGTAATTCTCCCCAATATTTGGCGAGCACTAAACAACGGCAACACCTCCGGAAAGTTAAAAGTAGCTTTTAAGCTGCTTCGACTAACTATTAAGAAGTCGGCTATCTTAGTTTCTAACTTGCTGTGACTTTAACGTATGCATTATTAAATACACACGAGTCACAACACTTCTCGCTTAACCATATAGCGGCATGATTGAGGTTCAATCATAGTTGTATCAAATGAGCTCTTAGGTTAAGATTTGTCATTCCCGTACTTTTATTTCCCATCGGCTACAGACTTGAGAAATTGAACACAGAGGGAAATATCTTTGAATATATTAGTAAATGTTGCGGCTTATTCGGAAAACCACGTGATAATAAAAATCAAGAAAATTCATGTAACTTAAGGCTCCGTTTATTTCGCAAAGACTGAATGATTTGAAAAACATTTTCCTAAAAATGGTTATTTATATCACTTGAAATAATTAATTAATAAAAAATATTTTTATTATTGACAACAATCTATGTCCAAATATTTTCGTGGACAATGAAATAATTGTCGTTTATTCATTTTTTGTAAGAAATAAAAGCGATCATTTTTAGGAAAATATTTTTCAAATTATTTAGCAATAATGTTTTAAAGTTTGTGTCATGCATTTCACGGTGCAATCGACTTCAGAGTATTGCCAGGAATGATTTATAGCATAATTGATTCGGGGGATTTTTTTTAGCAAAAATAGAATTTAATGTTCGGTCACTGACCAATTGAGAATTTAAGATTTTATTTTAGTTAATTGAGCATTTAAGATTTTCTGAAAAGTTCCGATCAGATCTCAAGTTTGCAGTCGTAAAATTCATACATATTAAAATCCGATGTGGCTCCAATGTAAAATATTTTGGTCATTTGCCACATATTTTCGCGGCTCAATTCTTAAATGCTCAATTGAACAAAATAAAATCTTTGTGACCTAGATCAAAATCTTCAGTCATGTTTCTGCGCTTATCCAAAGATTTGGACATACTGTTTGAAAGTTCTCGCCTTGAACGAGAGTTACAGGGTTGGGTTTTTCTTGGTTGGAGGAAGAAAATGGAGAAGAAAGCTGGCAATGAGCTCATAGAGATGAGGGATAATGATCTTCTACTCTTTCCCTTTTATCACCTTTGGATTGTTTTCTCCTTTTCTTTGAATTATGGCGGAAAAAGAATTAAATAATTGCAAGAAAAAAAAGACAATTGGTCTCCGTTTATTTAGCAGAAAGTCCATAATTTGGAAAAAAATTTCCTAAAAATAATCATTTATATCGCTTGAAATAATTAGGTAATGAAAAATATTTTCATTTTTAACAATAATTTATGTGTAAACACTTTTGTGAACAATTAAAATAATATTGTCCTTTATGTAAGTGATACAAGTAATAATTTTTTGGAAAATATATTTTAAATCATTGGAAGATCTGTAGGGAAGTTTCCTAGAATTGGCAATGATTTTTCCAAAGGTTCGGTTTTTGTTTTTTGAAGCTCTATGAGGTTGCCTTGTTATAGTGACTTTTGAGATTTCATATGAATCCTTTTATATATATCATTTTGATAATGAATGGAAATTTCTTTTGACAAAAATACAAACAAGCGAAGTAATAGACAAATAATCAAGAGACACTAAATATGGATGGCCAGACATGCTAGTTGATTCTTACCCTAATATCTTTCCTTCACCTGGCCTTTACCAGTGAAACCTCTAGTGTACCCGGAGAGAACCCGACAAAGGAAATGATTCGAGTCGGGATAGCTCACAACATGAAATTAACCATTGGGAAGTTGGTGGTGAGTTGTATATCCATGGCACTCTCTGATTTCTACGGCATGCACCCTGATTACCGCACCTGATTGTCGATTCAAGTTAGAGATCCAGGGGGACGACATCGTTGATGCGGCATCGGTAGGTAAATATATGCACTTGTGTGGGACTTATCGCACTCATGCTAATGATAGATGAACGAAATGTCTCTCATCATTTCGGTTGTCGTACATTTCGCGAGATAACCCTTTACTTGTGGACATGGAATTTTCCACTCAACTCACTAAAGATAATCTCAGGACTGTGCATAGGATATGAATTGCATTTCATCATCTTGATGCACCTCATTTTGAACAATCATTTATTCCACATGATTCATGGAATTATCTAATTAAATTTCCCCATTCGGAATCGATAATTAAAACAAACAAAACAATCATGCAGAAATTGCAGAACTTTCACCTGGCCTTTACCAGTGAAACCTCTAGTGTACCCGGAGAGAACCCGACAAAGGAAATGATTCGAGTCGGGATAGCTCACAACATGAAATTAACCATTGGGAAGTTGGTGGTGAGTTGTATATCCACGGCACTCTCTGATTTCTACGGCACGCACCCTAATTACCGCACCTGATTGTCGATTCAAGTTAGAGATCCAGGGGGACGACATCGTTGATGCGGCATCGGTAGGTAAATATATGCACTTGTGTGGGACTTATCGCACTCATACTAATGATAGATGAACGAAATGTCTCTCATCATTTCGGTTGTCGTACATTTCGCGAGATAACCCTTTACTTGTGGACATGGAATTTTCCACTCAACTCACTAAAGATAATCTCAGGACTGTGCATAGGATATGAATTGCCTTTCATCATCTTGATGCACCTCATTTTGAACAATCATTTATTCCACATGATTCATGGAATTATCTAATTAAATTTCCCCATTCGGAATCGATAATTAAAACAAACAAAACAATCATGCAGAACTTGCAACGGCTATGGGCATTTTAACTTGCAATTCATTTTTTGGCCAAAAAAAATTGCAATTCATTTAAAGCAATTTATTATAAGAGAAATGTCTGGAATTGAAAATATAGAAAGTAAACACTTAACAATTCATGCCAAAAGTGTTAGATTCTATCGAGGGCAATACTTCTTCACAACATCGGAATTGACCGGATTAGAGAATTCTCGACCATCCATTTTAGCCAGAACTAGGGCGCCTCCTGGGAGTACTTTCTTCACAATGTACGGTCCACTATAATTCGGAGTGAACTTGCCTAAGGGATCGGGAACGATTGACAATACCTTGCGCATGACTAGATCATTTATCTTAAACAGTCTCGGTCGCACCTTCCGGTTGAAAGACCTGGCTACTCTCTGTTGATAACACTGACCATGGCAAAGGAAACAACAGCAGGCCATCGTTAGAACAAACAGAAGCGGCGTTGCGGCACAAGGATCGGCAAGCTTTGTAGTTGCTAAGTAGCAAAAGCTGCGTCGGCGGGGCGCTTGATCGCGGCTAGAAGCAGGTGGTCGTCCATGTGGTGGCTGCTATGCTTGGTCGCTGATGGTGGAGGAATCGGCCTCGAGAGTCTCAGCTAAGGGTTGGCTGAGAATCCTCCTCCCTCTCTCTCTCTTTCACTAGTGTTTTCTATTTATGTGATCTAAGAGTTGTGAATTGCCAACCTCTAGGCTATGAAGTATATGTATGTATTTATAGAGTTTTTACGGGCTTAATTTAGGCCTTAATAAGATAACGGGCTGAATTAACTTGAGGCCTTCATTAATTAACTCTCATTGGCTCAAATTTGGTTAAATTAAGCTCAATTAGGCACCCTCCCTCATTGTAAAATTTGGCCAACCCTTGTCCCCTAGTGTGGCTGAATTTTCCCCTTTTGTGGGCTTAATTACTGACAGGCTTTAATCCCGTTAAGGGGTTATTCTAATTAAGCACCAAGCCTTTTACCTTTATGGGCTAAACCCAACTTAATTAAAGTTCAATAACTCTAATTTTGGGCTTGAAATTTCAGCCACGATTCCTCCTTGTGCTGACCTAATCTTGCTTATAGCGCGAGCCGGTCCACATGACTGGTTCAGGTTCATTCACCACCGCCGGTCCGATTAAAATGCAAATGCATCTAGTGAACACAATGATGAATGCTTCTAAAATTATATGCTATGCAATTATATTATTTTTATTTATGGGCCAAGAATTAGTCACTAATTTTCTATGCAATTAAACCCTAAATGATTAGCCATAATTTAGGTCTCAACAATCTATAATAAATAAAAAGAAGAAGGCTAAAAATTAGCGTTTTCCATCTTATGTACCAATCTCTCTCTCTCTCTCTCTCTCTTTGGGCGATTTATAAAATTTATTTATCAAGTGATTTGTAAGATTTTAAATGGTTCTTTATATACATGACGGTCATATTAAAGAACCAACAACGACCTCACTTAATACTCTATATATACACACACAAAATATTTTACATGCGACATTTATCAACCCAAATTAACCCCTTTTTTACAAAAGCAAATAAATTTTTTTTCTAATATGTGCATATACATAGCTAGATGCTAATATGTGCGTATACATAGCTAGATGTGATGATTGTTCTCATGCTCGATGAGCCTCTCTTAACACACAATCTTCATTATTCAAACGTGTAGAATGAGTATTGGCCTCCCTCCTACATTTGGTGTCCTCGCTATCAGTTCAACTTCATTATTCGGAGAAGCTTCCCCACTTTGAAAATGAGAGGTTGGAACTACACAAGATCTATTCCTCTTCAGACAACCAAATAATCGGTGCTCTTGAAAGAAGTCATTCGCAGTTTCCAAAAACTCGGACCAAAGGGAGCAATTACCAGAACGAATCGCGCTTGAAGAAGGCCAATGAGAATGGAAGAATGAAACCACATATATCAACACCGAAGATACCGAGATGATGCCGGTGATGATGAAGAGCCCTCCGAAGCTGTACACACTCAGGCTAAGATTGTCTGAAAAGATCGTAGCATCTTGATCTTGGCACGAGCTTTGACTGCAGAAGTATTTTCCTTCGATTGCGTCCATTTTCGGTTTATCTTGAGTAACAGTCAAGATTGCCCTTGAAATGTAGGAGACCAAAGGGGACCTCAATGGAAAGGCCTGATCAATAATTAGTTATGTTAGTTCGTGGCTTTACCTAAAAATGACCTTTCATGCACGATTGTGTTCATGAACACGTCAAACATATATCGGGTGTATCTGGGCGCATAGTACAAATAAGTAATAGACATTTGAGGATAATAATCATTAAACTAACGGTAATTGGTCGAATATGCAAATGTCACGTGGTTTACAAAATTTGTTTCCTTCCTGCAAAAAACAAAGTAATATTTCTTACTTTAAATGGTATTTTATAAACAAGTAAGTCACATTCAGGAACCAATAATAGCTCGACGCGCCACATAGTAAACCAATTTTTCAACCAAAATCAGTAAATCAGCATTTTCCTTAGTGAAAATATATATAGCAAACAAAAGATTTTACATACGATCTTTATCAACCCAAATTCACCCCTTTATTCCAAAAGAAAAAGAAAACAAAACAAATTGCTAATATGTGTGTATACACATACCTAGATGAGGTGAATCGTTCTCATGCTCGATGAGCATCTCTTAAAACACATTATTCAAACGTGTATAATGAGCACTGGCCTCTCTCCTTCATTTGGTGTCCTCGCAATCAGTTCAATATCACTATTAGGAAAAGCTTTCCTACTTCGAAAATGCGAAGTCGGAACTATCTTAGATCTATTTCTCTCCAGACATTTGAATAATCCGTGCTCTCGAAAGAAGTTATTTGCAGTTTCCGAAAACATGGACCAAAGGGAGCGATCACCGGAAGGAATCGCTGTCGAAGAAGGCCATTGAGAATAGAAGAACGAAACCACATATATCAATACGGAAGATACCGAGACGACCCCGGTGATGATGAAGAGCCCTCCAAAGCTATACACGCTCAGGCTAAGATTGTCTGAAAAGATCGCAGCATCTTGATCTTGGCACGAGCTTTGATCGCGGAAATATTTTCCTTGGATCGCATCCATTTTCTCTTTATCTTGAGTGACATTCAAGATTGCCCTTGAGAAGTAGGAGACCAAAGGGGACCCCAATGGAAAGGCCTGATGAATAATTAGTCATGTTAGTTCGTGGCTTTACCTAAAAACGAAAAAAGTTTATATTTACAAAAATTTATTTTAGGTCAGTTAAGAAGGAATAGTGATAATAGATCCATTGTCATGCAAAATGAAGGTCTCTTTAAGTATAAAACACGTGAACCGATTGTTAATTTAGACAAATCACATTGAAGTAGATATTCTACCCCCACCATTGCAGAGACCTATCCCGAGACATAAACAGTCCTAAAAAATGAAAATGAATAACAATTGGTCTATTTTCATGCAAGGTGCATATATATTAGACCCGTGCATGCACAGGTTAGCTAGGAGAGAAAGAGACACTTACAAAGCCAAACCCGTCAGTTTTATAGGTTGGTCCTACCATTTTGTACTTATTGCAGTATCTGGCAAGGAAGATTTTTATGAATGGCAATTCATCAAAGATTGCCGCGACTCCTCCGTTTTCGCTTCCCTTCGATAGCGCCTCGTGGTATTCCTCCGGCGAACTATAAGGAATCAATTTGGACTCATCGAAATTGAGCTGTCTCACGAGAAGTCCTCTCACGAAAGATCCTTTCGAATACCCGACGAAAAGGTGATTCCTTATCAAGTCTTGCACCTCCACGAACTTCGGCGTCAAACGTTGCACGGTTAAAAATGAAGTTAAACTTGCAGTATAACTCTGAGTCAGGATGAGCACCACAAATACCCATACGGTAAGCACAAGCCTTGTCAAATTGTTTGCAATCTTCTCTCCTACATCAATAAAAATCGTAGTGAATCGCCAAGAAAAGACCGAGCTAAAACAACAAAAGCAGAGTGAAATATGGAAGCCGTCACCATCGAGAAGACCGCGAAGAAAATCTTAATAACAAACAAGGCATGACAGTTTTGAAAGGACTTACTATGAGCAAACACCAATGTGGAGAAGGAAAACCAGAGAATTAAACCGATTTGTTGACTACGTCGACCCCTAAATTCTTCATTTGTACGATGTTCGAGTAGCCAAACCACGAACCCAGTAAAAATGAAGGCCAAACCGGTCGTTAGCCAGAGATTCCAACTCAATGGTTTTAAGAAGATCCACATGTTTCTCCGCTCATCATCCTTAATGGCAACTATCATTGCTACACCAGATTCTAAGTAGGGAAGGGTAAAATCGACGTAGGACGAGCGATTTGCAACGATAGTCGTGTCTCCCACAACCGCATCGACTTTCTGCATCATCATGTCCTCATGAGCTTCAATATATATGGCTAATTTACTTTTATCAGAATAAACATGTTAATGATAGTTGTGTACACAACGTCTACCACAAGAAATAATGCATAAATACAAGCCAGGTACATCAATGACAGTGCATAATATTGTTGTGTGAACTACTTCTCTGTATAGTACAAAAGCTCAAACAAGATTCGACAAGAATGCACTTACTAACGAGGACAATCATGTTTTCCTTCTTTTTACCAAGTGATTTATCAAGGAACAGCGGGGTAAAATTTGTAAAGCGCTGACAAACCTGAAGTTTAATTTCGTACAACATTTCGTCGTAGGTTCCCGCACTTTGCCCGCTCTCATTCACGTAAGGAACATACTGGTAAGGAATAGCAAAAGGCAATGCATCCAGTACTGCAAGAAACATGTCGTGGGCGAATCCTGAGTAGCTGGGCACGCCCGTATGCGGATCCCATTCGATTTTGAAGAACTCAGTAAAGCCGTCTTTCTGCGGAACGCCAATCCTCAGTTTCTTTCCTGATATCGGCATCACCCAACCTTTCGGTGGCTTTAATGTATTTCCTGGCCAAGTAGGCGGCTTCAAATCGTTGGCCGAAGCAGTATACTCTTCCTTCGTTGATTGGTTCAATTCGGGTGAAAGTCCTTGTGCCGAAGTCCAATATCCAATAATTTCCTCCCTCTGTCCTACAACATTAAATATTTCGAATGCAATCGGCTGAAGTTGGCCGTCGGGCAAGTTAAATTCTCCGCTGAGGCCTTGAAATTTGATGCTTAGAATTTTGTCTAGCAATTTCGGGCCCATCTCCGATATCCCAATAGACGAAAAGTCCAGATTGGTTCTGCTCCTATTCGGCTTTAAATATCTAGACCTTGCAGGCTCCCATGCCATCTCTCCTGCTATTGCTAGTGCTGTAACTGTGTCATATGCCCATAATCCAAAGAGACTGAGATAAGCAATCTCGTCATGTGAATTTCTCTCGGCGTAAAGCTTTGTCCATCTCTCTTCGAAATTTCTACGAGACTCTGATGGTGGTACATGTGGCCTTACACCTACTACACCTTGCATCGAATCCAAAGCCTTAGAGCTGACCGGGTCCAATAAAGAGGACAAACCATCAGTGACAATCCACGCAAAGTCCTCGCTCACCATGCCCGCCTCACTCGCCAGAACAAAGAACCGAGACCCGATCACAGCAGTCATATGAACAAGAAAAACTCTGGTCTGCATCACTAACAACTTATTGAGCTCTTTTACGATGTCGATATCTTCTGGAGATGGAGGAATAACGCTTCTGTAAGTGATCCGAGCATCGACCTTTTGGAATGCGTCGCCAAGGTATGGAACCAAGCCCTTGCCATACTCAGTGTCTTCATATACAAGAGCTATTTCCCTCCAACCATAAGCTTGAACAACAGCCGCTAAAGCACCAACCTGTAAACTGTCTTCATAGGCTGTCCGAACGAAATAATGGCTTTGTGTGGGAGAAAGGGATGGGCTAGTGGCTGAGAAGGATATGATTGGGACTTGAGCTTTCACTCCTAAGTCGATTACAAATTTGGCTTGTGAGGACCATTGTGGGCCCAGGATTGCATGGACTTCTTCATTCTCCATCAAGTCCAAAACTGTAAACACGATGTATGTATCTGATTAAACAATTCACAATTGATCTACTAAAATAAAAGTGGAATTGCATGGACTCTCTCTCTCTCTCTCTCTCTCATGCTTCAGATCTGGAGGCCTTATGTCCATGGCCATTGAGCCTCTAGGTCTCGAAGTGACGGCTCCTTCATGGTGGAAAAGCATTTAAATGAGACCAAGATCTCGACAACCATAGAGGAGCCCCATAATCTTCCTCAATAGAAGAGGGAAAAGGGCGAAGGAGAGAGAAAGAAAGATAAAGAACAGAGCGCAGAGATGGAGAGAGAAACCTTTCTTCTAGCAATAAAGCACCGCAGGCTTGGGTTGATTACAGGCCGGACGGGCTGGGGTTTTCCAAAGAACCCCGATGGCTTCGAGCTTGTTATCTCTAGGCCTAGATCGAAACTGAGTATGCAGCCAGGACCAAACTTGATTGGTCCCATTCAGTGTAGTCTGGGCTAGGTCCGAAGTTTCACATAATTTTTCAAAGGGAAAATAACACAAGTGATCCCTGAATTTTGATCTATTATGCAATATCGTCCATGAATTTTTAATTTGTTCAATGTAGTCCCTGAACTTTGATCCAATATGCAATATGGTCTCTGAACTTAAATCCAATATTCAATGCAGTCCGTGAACTTTTAAATAATTTTATATAGTTTAGAAACTACATTGAACAAATTAAAAGTCTAGGGACAATATTGCACATTGAGCTAAAGTTTAGGGACCATACTGCACAAATTAACAGTTCAAGAACGACATTGCACATTAGGACAAAGTTCAGGGATTATTTGTGTTATTGTCCCTCTTTCAAACGCATATTTTGGTAATTGCTAGACTTATTTTTTACTTTCACCATTTCTCAAAAATATATATTTTAAAAAAAGACATCTAATATAAAAAAAAAGTAAACTAAAAAGGAAAGATGTTCCCATCTGTAACTTTATCAAGTTTGGCATTTTGTTTGGCCTCATTTGCACTTGCTGTGTTGGGCTTAGGTGTTTGTCCTATTTATTTCTCAAGTTCGAATTATGAAATTTCAAAGGAAAAGAATCGAAATATTGGACAAAAAAGGCTTAATCTGAAAATGAGGTCCAGTTGTTATGTGCGGGGTTATGGTGCAGTAGTAGTCGCCACTTCTTGAGTTGCTGCACTAGTGGAGTCGTTCATTTTGCCCTCTGTACTGCTTGCTTGCTCGGAGTAGACAGAGCTAGTTGAAGAGATGGTCGAGGCGTGGTGGTGGTGGACGAGTGAGAGGTGAGACATAAGTGTAGACAAGAGAAAGATTGAGAGACTTGAATAGAAATTTAACTAAAGAGAATTAGAGAGATGAGAGAGGCTAAACTGCTTTGAGTTTTAGGAAAGTGAGAGGCAGAAAGTTCAAGAGAATGTGTGTTAGGTGGTTTTCTAACTTTAGCAGATTTATTTTTGTTAAGGCTGATACCACGAAAAAAACCTAAATAGGTACACCCGTTCCACATTTATCCCAAATTAGTTTTTGTGTCACAAAAAATTCCAAACCGGTACATCACTGCCACATTTACCAAAAAATCTCCCAAGTAAAAATTGGTGTAGGGTAAATGTGGCATTGATGTACCAGTTTGAGAATTTTGTGATCCGAAAATTAGTTTGAGATAAATGTGAAACGAATCTACCAGTATAGGAGTTTTTAGCGAATTAACCATTCCTACTATGCAATATACTTCGGGCTGGTCCAGGCCATTCGAACCTCAGGATTAGACTAGCCCAAACTAAAAATTCAATTCAAGCATGGTGACAAATTAGTGGCGCTGCCCGAGGGACCCACTACAAAATGGTTAGGTGCTTATCGACACTGCCAGATAGATAGAACAAACTCGATGGAGCACTAAGCGGTTCAAATTAGAGTTTACATTGGGTGAGTTAGAAAACTTGACAGGGGAATTTTCAAGAAAAGTGGCAATTAATAATTTATGCCGAATGGGATTCAGAGTGTTTTAAGATACATGCGTGGTGGTGTTATTAGGCAAAAGAAGTCTCATGTCGGAAATTTGATATAATTTGGAGCAATTAATGATGTGGGCTCGTGACTCGTTGATTTTAAGTGGGAGTTGGTCTAGCCAAACATGTTGAGGGCTTATATTTGGGCTCCATCTTGATGATTTATCGGGCTTTTACCATGCCTCCCCAACAAAGTATATTCATAAAATTGAAAATACAAAGTGTAGGTTTCAAAAGTTGAGGATCTCAGTTATTATTAGTGTAGAAATTGAGATTGATTTTTGAAATTTGATCGGTGCGTTTTGTGTTAGAAAAGTCGATGATGATGAACATATCATATGTAGAAAAATCCGTCTTATTTTTTTTGAGAGGCAAAGAGAGAAAGCGAGAGATGGTGAAGGAAGGTGGTGAAGTAGAAAGAGCGGAAACAATTGACTTTGATTGTTTGAGTGCGTCTTGCCCCGAGGCTGCTTGAGTCGGTCTTACGTTTGAAAAGTCAACTGCGTTTTCTGTTTGAAAAGTCAAATAATGATAAATTTGTCATATGCAGAAAAATCTTTTCTTTTTTTTTTGGTGGAGAGAGAGAGAGAGAGAGCGACACTTTCATGCTAATACAAATACTATAGATATTACAGATATTAGATGCCTAATACCAATACTAACACTAATACAAATAGTAGATTCTCTACTAACATTGGGCCATAATACTAATACTATATAACTATTAGATGCCTATCAGAAACTATTTAGATTCATTAAAAACTCACACTAGAATCACTTCATCGTATGTGTATTAATATCCTTGATCAGACAAGGAAAAAGCATAAATTAGTTGATGACAAGTATTTGAAGTTATGAAGAATCAAGATTCATTGGCGATAAGAGTTTTAAAATGTGAATAATCTAATTCATGATCGCGAGTCCAATATGTCCCACACAAGCGACATAACTATATGTATTTACCTGCTGATGCTGCATCGACGATGTCATCCTTTGGATCTCTGATGAGAAGCGACAATTGGGTACGGTAATCAGGGTGCGCGCCATAGAAATCAGAGCGCGCCATGGATATACAACTCTCCACCACCCTCCCGATGGTTGAGTTCATGCTGAAAATTAGCCCGATTTGAATCATTTCCTTTGCTGGGTTCTCTTTGGGTACACCGGAGGATTCAATAGTAGAGGCCAGGTGAAGGAAATATAATAGTGCAAGAATCAAGCAGCTTCTCTGGCCCTCCATATTATGTGTATCTTGGCTACTTTTGTCTATTGCTTCACTTGTTGATGACTACTTATAGATTGTTTCCAGCTCTAAGCAGTGGAAAAAACGTACGGAGGTTTCCTAGAAGTTGATTGTTCAACAATTGATAAATTCTTACAGTAGTTCTCTGCTAAATTGCAAAATGGTTCATTCTTAGGAAAAGTCGTAGGAAGTGAAGATTCGTTGTCTATTTCCCACATTGACTGTGCAATGTGCACAAATTGACTTAATTCATACGAAAGTAGTAGTCCAACGTTAAGATAAGACCGGTACATTCACTGGAAGATTCGAAACGTGGAAATAAATTGCCTTTTTTCCTTGCAAATATTGAATGCTTTTTTCCACCTCATTCACAATCAGCCAAAAAAGGAATCAATTCATTGGAAAATTCGTAGCGGTCCACTCTGTTCAGCGTCTATTGTCATGTGGCATCAAAGTAAACAATGGTAGGAGAAATGAATATGCCTCGCCACTTCTAATTTGACTCAAGAACATAAGATGTCCTAGTTTAGGACATAGCATATGCATGGCACAAGTGATTTTCAGCCATATTAGATGTTCAATGGGCTTGGCTAAATTTTGTGCTCCTGCGGGCATAGTTTAGATAATTAAATTAGGCTCGGATCCCCCTTCCTTAAGTGCAGTCCAATTACAATGCAGTTTATGTGGGCTTATACAATGCCTCTAATATGTAAATGTAAATTAATAATATTTTTATTTGGGGATCGGAGTTGATGCCTAATTTTTTGTGTAATGAATAACTAAATGGGTCACAAAAATTTACGTCAATAGTAGATTCTACACCTGGAACATGAAATCTGTCAAAATGGATTTCAAGTTTTTGGAACCGGGAACCGTACTAATCGACCCTAGATCCGGCCTTTCCGAAGAGCAAGGAGCCACAGAAGACTAGTAGCTTTTCTCCATGGTTCCCTTTTGCAGAACTAACATCAAAGCAACACTCAACCTTTTGAGAAAGCCGAGACATTCATGAAAATAGAAACAAAAAGCAAAAGACTCAAACTTAAACATCAAAAAGAGTAAAAAAGACTCAGCATCCTTTTGTCCTTTGAAATTTCAAAAAGACTGCAAAAAGCAAGAAACCATCTCAGACCATACCCTTCAAGAACCACCCCCAAAAAGAAAAACGAAAACATGAAAAGAAACGGGGAAAAAGGCTAAAAACAACCAAAGTCTGGAGAATCTGAAATGACACAATAGAGTTCGTGTGAGAGAGAAAAAAAAATGGCAGATTTCACTTTGGTTTCCTTTCTTCTTCTTCTTTTTTTCTTTTTTCTAAACTCGTACAGCTTTTTTCTAATTGGAGAAGAACGACCTTGGCATCGCCAAGCACAGAAACCTTGAGAAATGAGAGTGAGAGTGAGGGCATTTTATAATGGTTGGAAATCCATTCTTGAGCATTTTATAATGACTGAGTTTTGGAACCTGAAACCAATCCTATCCCTGTGTTAATCGGTGGCTAGTTTGGACCAGTTTCCGATTTGAACCATCCTGGTTGCTCCCCCCTGGTCGCGAGTGTGAGGGAAGTGTGGGGCAAAAGGTTCAAGAGGGTGTATGTAGGGGTTTTCAGTTAAGCTTGATATATTTCTATATTTTGGGCCGGTTTCGGGTCATTCAGGCCTCAAATACCTGAACCATGAAAGATGTGACATCCAGAATTTTCTTTGTAGTTCATGATTGATGAGATTAGCAAATATCACCTAGAGGAGGGTGAATAGGTGATTTGAATACTTTTTGTTCAATTTAAAGTGGAAACAATTGATCACGGGCAAAGTATGATCAATGTTCAGATTTTGAACAATCTTTGAACGGCAAATAAACAAATGTGCAATTAACTAAATAAAAGGAGTTTTAGGGATGAGAAAAATTACACATAAATATATAGTGGTTCGGCTTAATTCAAGCCTATGTCCACTCTCCCATGCTAACAGCCTACTGGCTGGATTCTACTAGATGATCAATCAAGAGATTACAAAATCTGAGTGATGACTTTTCTGTGAAAGATAGGTCACTCTATCTCACTCAATCACTTTTACAATATGTCTCTCAATATTATTGATTTATGCTTAAGAAGGACAAGTTTCACTGATCGGAGTTTGCTTAGACTTTGGAATGGATGATTCTGGATATCGTCTCTCTACTCTGCTCCTCGACAATTTGTCTCCTTTTATATTCCTCCACTTCCAAACTAGCCGTTGGACAGTCTTCAGAGGATCATCTTCTAATCTTCACCTTGGACAGATTTGTATAAAAATGATAGAGGAGCCGTTCAGTGATAAAATCTAAATCCCGCTGATTTTGGTTGCCCATACAACCAGAATTTTGGTTTCCATAAGTAGAGCTTCTCCATTTAGAAATAAATTTGTCGTGGGGTTGATTGTCAATCAATTAAGGATATTTCACGATATAAATATTCCTTGCAATTAAGATCGAATCGATTAATACTTTCCATTTGTGAAATCCAAGCCAGATTCCAAGCCAAATTACTAGCCGTTATTTACATTTTGAGTAGCGACAATGTCTAGATAAAGTCTGCATCTTATCTTGCGCTCAAAACTTGTGTCAGAATGGTTTGTCCTGTAAATTCTGAATCTTTTGATTCTAGTATATAAATTGAAGTTCTTCAACTGCCGTGTACAAAGTCTGAACTTTGTCTTTTGCGATGCAGAACCTGAAGTTCTTCTTCTGATTCATGTAAAGTCTGAACTTCCAGAGCATAACTTCCTGGACTTAGAATACTTCAAAAGCATATGTCAGACTTACTCATGGATAATTTTGTCGACATAAAAATCTATTAGGAAGTTTTCTCAACAATGATATTTAAGATATTGAGTTAATTTTGTCGATATCAATGACAGTGTGCATATTTATCTTGTGTGAACTACTTCTGCAAGGAAAGTTTAACATGTATAGTATTAAAGCTCAAACAAGATTCAGGAAGACTTAATCATGAGAACAATCATGTATTCCTTTTTTCATCCAGTCATTTGTCAAGAAATAGCAGGGTAAAGTTTGAAGATAAAGCATCGACAAACCTGAAGTTTAATTTGGTACAGCATATCATCATAGGTTCCTGCACTTTGCCTGCTCTCGTTCACGTGAGGAACGTACCGGTGAGGAATAGCAAAAGGCAATGCATCCAGTACTGCAAGAAACATGTCGTGGACGAACCCGGAGTAGCTGGGCACGCCGGTATGCAGATCCCATTCGATTTTGAAGAACTCGCTAAAGCCGTCTTTCTTTGGAACCCCAATTCTTAGTTTCTGTCCTGATATCGGCATCACCCAGCCTTTCTGTTGGTGAAGCCAAGCGATCGAATAATAAAATTGATAGAACAAGAAAATAAATCGGACACTAGATTTACGTGGTTCGATCGTAGTGACCTACGTCCACGAGGAGAGCAGTACGGAATTCCACTATAGATCAAGCGATACAACGGAGATTACAACCACATTCGAATCATTCAAACACTCTCGGTGTTTCCCAAGCCCCAATTACACTCAATAACGCACGCAGTATTTAGCCCCACAATTCCTTATGAAATAATCTCTCAATCTCACGAAGGAATTATACACAAATCTTATCACAAGATTTACGCTTGAACACTAATTCTTCTCGGATGTAATTCACGAACAAGAAACCCGCGAAGATAACCCATGCCAAGCACTCGCTTAGAAACGGCGCTTCAAGAATCTTCGCGTATTCATCAACAACAGCCACCAAGACTTCAGCACTTCAAGTCTACGTGAAGAAGCATCCCCTGACTTTAATTGTGTGCATATATATATTAGTCAATATATGCTGCCCTTTGCCGAGTCGCACTAAAAGTTGGACTTGTGTTATTTCCTTTATTGACACATGCTGAGTTAGAGAAGGAAACCAAGTCCACTTTCCTATTTTGTTGACCAACGTTTATACAGAAATTGATTTCCGTAATCTACTGGAACTTTTGTTGGACTCAACGAATCAGCAACTTGAAATCCAAATATCCACTTTCCTTTTTGAAGTGTATTTTTCACTATCAAAATTTCAACATGGCTTTGCACTCTAAAATTGAACAGGAAATATAGATTTCCTGTTCAATTCCATAAATATTCAACTTCCAGATTTTTCTTTAATTTATTTTGGGTCGGGTTTCGTCTATCGGGCTCAAACTCGAGACATATTTTAACAATCTCCACCTTGGGTCGACGTTTGAGCCAAGTCACAATCGCTTTGATAGAATCCGAATTTCGCTACTATTCTCTCACGGCCCCAATGGGCTCAACCGCCACAGACGTCTTCCAAGTCCAAGCCTCGTTTGAACTTTGCCATAGCCATAGACCTTATCAGAACACTAACTCCATATGCACCTTTAACTGCTTCACAAGGATTTTCCGACACAACCTCCTCAATCACAGATAAAGTAAAACCATCGTTGCATCCATATCTATTGGGAGATCGAATACGCACTTTGTCAATTTCAGCAGTTACAGCAACTGTTGGCTCTATAAACTCCACCTCGCTACAAGCACCATCCGTGTTTATTACTTCGTTAGCACCCGCTACCTCAGGAGTTTCTAGTTGCAACTCCACCTCAAGCTGAATACCGTTCAAATCCGTATGAACACTGCCACAAACACTCCTAGCCAGAAGTACTGGAGACTCGTCAAATGTAACTTTTTTGCTAATAATAGGTGAATTTAATTCCGCGCACCACAACTTATAGCCCCGCTCACCTTGTGTATAACCTAGGAACATGCACTTCATTGCCCTTCCATTGAGCTTACCATCACTAACTCGAACATAACATGGACAACCAAATATTCTAAGAATAGAATAATCAGCAACGTTACCTGATCACACTTCTTCAAGAGTCCGACATTCAATTGTAGTCGATGGGCATCTATTCTTTAGGTAGCTCGCCGTACTAAGCGCATCCGCCAGGAATCTCCTAGCCATACTAACACTAGAGAGCATTTTATGGGCCGTCTCTAGGAATGTTCTGCTCATCAATTCTGCAACATGTTGTGGTTCATTGGCATTAGTGCGGTGTTTCACTATGCCTTCCTTCATGCAGACTTCATTTAACAGCTTCGAGCAAAACTCTATGCTACTGTCAGTTCGCACCTGCTTGATCGTTTTACCAGTCTCATTTTCAATCAAAACTTTTAATTGCCTGATTCTGACAACAGCATCAAACTTGTGCCTAAGCACAAATACCCAGTCTTCCTCGAGTAGTCATCAACAACTGTTAGCATAAATCTGGCACTCTTCCTCGAAGGAAACCGCGATAACCTACGAACATCCAAGTGAATTAATTCTGCAATTTCCGTAGTTTGTCTGACAATCGTACTGAACTGCACTTTCCACCATTGATCTATATCACAGTACCTGCATACATTCAATTCATTAGCCACACTCAGCAAATTTCTTTCACTTAGATCCTTCAGGCTTCTCTCGCTAATGTGCCCCAAACGCATATGCCACAATTCAGACTCTCGAACCGATGCATCCGACGTCTCCGCAGCGAATTCCATCACTATCTCATCTTGAAGCTCATACAGGCCATTATGCTTGATTCCTTTCATTATCACTATGGCACCTCAAAGAACTTTCAGAACTCCACCTTCTAAATAATATCGACACCCAGCTGAATCTAGAGCACTCAAGGAAATCAGATTTTTCTTCAACTCTGGAACATGTCTCACTCCAGTCAATCTCTACACGATACCATCATGCATTCTGATTCTGGCATTACCAACACCAATAACATCGCATTCAGAATTGTTCCCTAACTGCACTTTACTACTATTCGTGCACTGATAAGTAGTAAACCAGTTCCTGTTTGGTGTCGTATGAAAAGAACAACCAGAATCCATAATCCATCTGCCAAACGACGAATCATCAGTGACAAACAAGACATAATCAGCATTATCCGAATTACCATCAGCTATAGCTGCAACATCATCCGCAGGATCAACTCTAATTCCCTTTCCCTTATTGTTTTTCAGCTTAAGACAATCCCTTCTAATATGCCCTCTCTTGCCACAACTCCAACAGACAACACCACCAATCCTAGACTGACTTCGTCTATTTGAGTTCATACTACTTCTGCTAACACGTGTACCAGTTCTTCCTCTATTTTCACCTACTAAAGCAGCAGATATATGTTCGCCAGATTCTCTTCTACGGATGTCCTCACTCAGAATTAAATCTCGAACACCATCAAATGTCAAACTTGTTGACCCTGAGGAATTACTTACAGCAGTAACAGTAGTATTCCAACTATCAAGCAATGAGGATAATAGAATCAAAGCACATATCTCATCTTCAAAGTCAATCTCAACTGAACTCAATTGACTAACGATCACATTGAATTCATTAACATGATCAGCAACTGACGCACATTCTCTCATCTTCAAATTAAATAGACGTCGCATCAAATAGACTTTGTTGATCGCAGAAGGCTTCTCGTACATGTCTAACAGGGCTTTCATCAAACTCGCAATGGTCTTCTCATTCACGATGTTAAACGCGACGATACGAGCCAACGTCAGCCGAATAACACCCAAAGCTTGTCTATCCAGCAATTCCCAATCAGCTTGCTTCATCGTCTCTGGCTTTTTCCCAGACAAAGGCAAGTGCAGTTTCATCTGATATAAATGATCCCCAATCTGCATCTTCCAGAAACCAAAGTTCTTCCCATGAAATCTGTCGATTTTCACTTTTCCTTCTTCTATCGCCATCGATTCGCTTCAACTCAGCAAAGCCTGGCTCTGATACCAATTGTTGCGGAAGCCAAGCGATTGAACAATAAAATTGACAAAATAAGAAAATAAGTCGGACATTAGATTTACGTGGTTTGATCGTAGTGACCTACGTCCACGAGGAGAGCAACACGGAATCCCACTATAGATCAAGCGACACAACGGAGATTACAACCACATTCGAGTCACTCAAACACTCACGGTGTTTCCCAAGCCCCAATTACACCCAATAACGCACGCAGTATTTAGCCTCATAATTCCTCACGAAATAATCTCTCAATCTCACGAAGGAATTATGCACAAATCTTATCACAAGATTTACGCTTGAACACTAATTCTTCTCGGATGTAATTCACGAACAAGAAACCCACGAAGATAACCCATGCCAAGCACTCGCTTAGAAACGGCGCTTCAAGAATCTTCGCGCATTCATCAACAACAGCCACCAAGACTTCGGCACTTCAAGTCTACGTGAAGAAGCATCCCCTGACTTTAACTATGTGCATATATATATTAGTCAATATATGCTGCCCTTTGCCGAGTCGCACTAAAAGTTGGACTTGTGTTATTTCCTTTATTGACACATGCTGAGTTAGAGAAGGAAACCAAGTCCACTTTCCTATTTTGTTGACCAACGTTTATATGGAAATTGATTTCCGTAATCTACTGGAACTTCTGTTGGACTCAACGAATCAGCAACTTGAAATCCAAATATCCACTTTCCTTTTTGAAGTGTAGTTTTCACTATCAGAATTCCAACATGGCTTTGCACTCCAAAATTGAACAGGAAATATAGATTTCCACGGTGGACATCCATAAATATTCAACTTCCAGATTTTTCTTTAATTTATTTTGGGTCGGGTTTCGTCTATCGGGCTCAAACTCGAGACATATTTTAACACTTTGGGTGGCTTTAATGTATCTCCTGGCCAAGTAGGGGGCTTCAAATGATAGGCCAAAGCTGTATAATTTACCTTCGCTAACAAGTGCAAGTCAGGGGCAAGTCCTTGTGCCGTAGTCCAGTATCCAATGATTTCCTCTTTCTGTCCTACAACGTTAAAGATTTCAAATGCAATGGGCTGAAGTTCGCCATTGATCAAGTTAAATTATCCTCTAAGGCCTTGAAAGTTGATGCTTAGAATGTTGTCGAGCAATTTTGGGCCCATCTCCGAAATCCCAAAAAGTTGAGGTTGTTGCTGCTCGTATTCGGCTTTAAGTATCTAGACTGTGCAGGCTCCCATGCCATCTCTCCTGCTAATGCTAGTGCTGTAACGGTGTCGTATGCCCATAAGCCAAATAGATTGAGATCAGCAATCTCGTCGTGCGAATTTATCTCGGGGTAATGCTTTGTCCATCTCTCTTCGAAATCTTTAAGAGAATCCGATGGTGGTAGAATTGGCCTTACACCTAGTACACCTCGCATTGAGTTCAAAGCATCAGAGCTGACTGGGTCTAGTAAAGACGACAAACCATCGGTGACAATCCACGCAAACTCCTCGCTCATCACTCCCGCATTACTCGCTAGAATAAAGAACCTAGACCCGATCACAGCAGTCATGTGAACAAGAAACACTCTGGTCTGTATGGTCAACAACTTATTGAGCTCTTTTACAACGTCGACATCCTCTGCAGATCGGACGAATAACGCTTCTGTAAGAGATCCGAGCATCGACATCTTGGAACGCGTCGACAAGGTATGGAACCAAGCCGTTGCCATAGTCAGTGTCTTCATAAACAAGAGCTATTTCCCTCCAACCATAAGCTTGAACGATAGCCGCTAAAGCACCAACTTGTGAACTGTCACTGTAGGCTGTCCGAACGAAATAATGGCTTCCTCTGGTAGAAAGGGATGGGCTTGTAGCTGAGAAGGATATGATCGGGACTTGAGCTTTTACTCCTAAGTCGCTAACAAATTTGGCTTGTGAGGACCATTCTGGGCCCAGGATTGCATGGACTTCTTCATTCTCCATCAAGTCTTCAACTGTAAACACAACATATATGAATAAACAAATGATCTACCAGAGAAGTTGGATTGCATGGACTCTGTCTCTCTCCTCCGCGTCAGGTCGAGCATCTCGTCCAGATCTGGATGCCTCACCTCCATGGCCGTCGAGCCTCGAGGTCTTGAAGCGACGGCTCCTCCATGGTGACGAGCCTAGGGGTGATAACAAGCCGGGCGAGCTGGGTTTTTGGCAAACTATAAGCTAGGCCAGGATCGGCCAACAGTTTGGTGAAGGATAGTTTTCTGCTTACCCCTCACAGTCACAGCAAAGTATGCTGCTTTTCTTCTATTATACGTTAAACATCTCATTCGAGCAATCTCCCATCTTTTCAGACTTTTAACCATCTCTTAAAAATATATATTTGTGTAGCAAACTAAAAAAAGAACGATTTCCCCAACAGTAACTTTATCAAGTTTGGCATATAGTTTGGCCTCATGCGCACTTGTAGTGTTTCATTTCCTTCTCTGAGGCGAAGAATCCTCCCTCTATTCATCTTTCTCTCTCGGCTTTATGGTTAAAACGAAAAAAAAAAAAAAGCAATCAGAAAAGAGAGTGGTGGAAAAGTCAACTAGAAACACAATATAGATCTCAAGTTTTGGGTTTGTTAGCCCTATTTATCAAGTTCGAATTTTGAAATTTCGAAGAAAAGGAGCCAATATATAAGCCTCAATATGAAAACGAGGTCGAGTTGCTGTCAGAGGTGTTGTACTGTAGTCTTTGCCGTCACTTATTGAGTTGCTGCACTGCTTGAGTCGCTCATTTCACGCTCTGAACTGCCTGAGGCCTTGCTTCGTCGGAGCAGACTGAGCTAGCTGAAGAGATATGGTCAAGGCGTGGTCGGGGTGCGTTGTGGTGGTGGTTGAGTGGGAGGCCAGACATGAGTGTAGACAAGCAAAAGATTGAGAGACTTGGAGAGAAGATTTAACTGAGAGAACAAGGGAGATGAGAGAGGCTTAGCTGCTGTGAGTGTGAGGAAAGTGAGAGGCATGAAGGTTCAAGAGGGTGTGTGTTAGGGAGCACTAAAGTGTTTCAGATTAGAGTCTACTTTGGAGGAGTTTAGAAACAGGAGAGGGGCAGTTTTAGAAGAAAAATGGCAATTATATAATAATAATAATAATAATAATAATAATAATCTTATATGCCAAATGCAATTTAAAGTGTGTCAAGGTGCGTGTGTAAGGTGTCACTAGGTAAAGGAAGTCTCACGCCGGGATGTGACCTAAGGTATAGTAGTTAATATTGGCTCTAACTCGTTGACTTAATATTTTAAATGAAAATTATTTTAGCTGAATATGTTGATGGGTTCGAATTTGGGTTAATATTTATCAGTCTTTTGTTATGCCTCCTCGACAAAATATATTCATAAAATTGAAAATAAAAGATGTAGGTTTCAAAAATTGACGATGTGAATAATTATTAGTGTAAAAATTGAGGATGATTTTTGAAATTGGATCGGAGTGTTTTGTGTTAGGAAAGTTGGTTGAAAGAGTAGAAACAAATTGAGTTTGACTGTTTGAGTAAGTCTTACGTTTGAAAAGTCACTGATGATAGATCGTCGTACGCAGAAAAATTGATGATAAAATTGTACTGAAATTGAGGGTATAAGTGACGGTCAAAAGAGCAAAACTAAAACTCAAAGGGTACATGTAGACAAATCCTGTTCTTTTTTTTGGCGTGTAGAGAGAGATATTTCTCTTGATGATAAGCTTGAAAAGTCACTGATGATAGATTCTCAAACATTTTTTTGGTCGGACATTCTCAAACATTTATTAGATCTTCTTTTTAAAGATCAGATTGATCCATATATAGATGCCTAATACTGATACTATCAGCACCTATTGAGCAGTCATTAAACTAAGTAGATTGATCCATCCAAGCCAACTTTTCAGTCTATTCTAGAGTAAATACTCACACTAGAACCACTTCATTGTATGTGTTTTAAGATCGTGGACCAGACAAGAAAAAAGCAAATAGTAAATTAGCTGATGACAAGTATTCGAAATTCTGGAGAATCAAGATTCATTGGTAATAAGTGTTTGAAAATGTAAATAGTCTAATTCACAAGCACGAGTCCAATGTGTCCTCCGCAAGTGCATATATTTTACCTGCCAATGCTGCGCCGACGACGTCGTCCTTCGGATCTCTGACGAGAAGCGACAACCGAGTACGGTAATCAGGGTGCGCGCCGTAAAAATCAGAGTGTGCCATGGATATACAACTCTCCACCACCTTCCCTATGGTTGAGTTCGTGCTGAAAACTAGCCCGACTCAATTCATTTCCTTTCCTGGGTTCTCTTTGGGTACTCTGGAGGTTTCAATTGTACAGGCCAGGTGAAGGACCCATAAAAGTGCAAGAATCAAGCAGCTTGCCTGGCCCTCCATATTCTGTGTATCTTGGTTACCTTTGTCCATTGCTTCACTTGTTGATGCCCGACTACTTATACATCGCTTGCAGCTCCAAGCATTGGAAAACTCGTAAGTAAGTTTCCCAGAACTTGGCTGTGCAATGTGAACACATTGACTAATTCTACGCGGAAGTAGTACACTGCTCCGTTGAAATAAAACCCTTTGCGATAAGCCAAAGAAAGATTCCAATTTGCGGGCTTCACTTGGTCGCAACTAGTCATTTTAGAATTAATTACATTTCGCATTTATTGTCGTGTGGCATCAAAGTACACAATCATAAGGACAAGGTGATCGGTTCGTCGCTCTTGTCCTTGACAAACCTCAGTGTGGACCGCATATGCATTTGCTGCAATAATGGAGGAATAAGAATAGCAGCGTTACCGTAACTTTCGTTGAGCGCCATAATTTTTTTTTTCGCTCACTTAAATACCATATCTGAGTAAAATTGATCATTTGAGTATCACTTCCGGTAAATCATCATACATGGATTTTGTTATTTTTTTTCCTTTTTTTTTTTTCTGTGCATCGGCCACAAAGGCCTCACTCTCCGCCGACGGGGCCATCTCACCTGCGACCAACGAGGGCTCGGGTGAGGGTGTGATGGCCCTTGCCAGATCTGGGTGAGACCACCTTGCCAGTGGCCGATGGGGCCGCAAAGGCCCTTGGCAAATCTGGGCGAGGGCTGTGTCAGATTTTCTGGGGAGGCAAATTATTGATGGCATTTAGGTGATTGATTTTTCAAATATGTGACATTTAAGTGATCAATTTTTCAAATTTGTTGTACTTTAGTGAGCGAAAAAAATTATAAAAATTGTCTACGTTTGCACTAGCGGTGCAATGTAAGACGACCAGCATCCACGTTAGATTTTCGAGCGAGGCAAATCATTGGTAGCACTTAAGTGATGGATTTTTTAAATTTGTGGCACTTAAGTGAACGAAATAAAAGTTATGGCATTCAAGTGAGCGCCGTGTGAAAGTTTTGACACTTTTACTATTCTTATCCCCAAAATGGATGAGCAATACCAAAGAGAAATGATTAAGTAATAGTCTTTAATTTACTGTGAGCATAATAGCATGTTATAGACCACAAAAAAATAAAAAGTAAAATATAAATAATTATTATGGAGTCCACTCCTTCAAAAATTTGTAGCTTACAACATACTATTACGTTCATAGTGACCCAAAAATTGTTATGCTAGTAAATTTGAATGGACAAAAAGGAAAAAGTTAAAACTAAAAACAGTAACATGTTTAATGGAAGGAGATTGTATATAAAGCTATAAGTAGATTTGTTGATATTTTTAAGGGCAAAATCAAATTCATTGATTTCATGACTATTAGAGATAATTACAAATACCATTCTCAACTTTCTCTATAAATCATAGATCTTCCTCACATTTCGAAACCTATAGCTACTATCCTCACTTTTTACATTGAGTTTCAAGTTACATCTCCCACCAACACATATTTTACCGAGCAACTATTTTCTTTTTGAAATAATCCAATCCTCATAATTGGATTTCACTTTTTGAGTGTAGATTTCGGGTGATACCATGAAGGAGAGCTAAGATGCAAATCAGAGCCGAAGACAAAGCTTGTGGCAAGTATGCTATCCCACACATAGATGGCCCTCTAGGCCTTTATAAAAGAGACTATCTTTTAGCCACCAAGCCCCTCTTCGAATTTGGATTCGCACCTTAAAACTGCTTTATAGTAGCAAAATTTGATGCACAGGTTCCATACCATGGCAAGTGCAGAGCATACTACCAGGACTAAACAGCACACGTATGTTTGTTTAGAGAATCATACCAGGCAGAAAGATAGAAGTGAAGGTTCAAGGACTCATAATGCACACAAGTCTTATTTCTTGAGGAGCGTATCATGTCTTCAAATCTTACAAGCATTGCCTTATATTGGCAAAAAGTAGACAACCAACTAATTTGTGAAGTTCTGGATATCACCAATAATTCAACACTCTCTTACTAATCATAAAATGTTGACATACGACAAGAAAGACTTTATCAAGCGACAATAAAGATTGATAGACGACATACAAAGACTTTTACAACTGACAGACGATTGATACACTTTCGAACAACAATTTTTCTTCGTTTTTCTTCTTGCTACAGTGCCAAACAGTACGTGAACAGTGCATGAACGGTGCATGAATAGTGTGTGAACAGAAATTGTCTGACACTGAGCCATCTTTTCAAACATTTCTGTCAAACTTGCTTGGTCGGTCTTTGGAGATTATATTTATGGATGCGTTCTTTGGTGTTGCCATCATCAGAGCTGTCCGAACTACCTCCGTCCTTTTATTTGCTGTAATCCCTAAGGATCCGTTCAATTTCCATGATCTCTAGGCCTACATCTTCATGAACTTCCAAAGACTTTTGTCTTTTCCGTGGAGATTTATAAGAAGTACCTGGAACGTCCGCAGAACTTGAGGAGATATCAGTAGGACATGATGGAATGGTTGGCCAAACAGTGATGAACAGTACGTGAACAGTGCATGAACAATGCGTGAACAGTACTTGGTTGTATTGATATAGAAGTCTTTGGAGTTCAATAGGTTTTTTTGGGTTGGGGACACTCGTGTAATTTCTGAAATTGAGGAGGGTATTTGATATATTGATCAAAGTTGATGATGGTTTTGGCAGTTCTCTCTTCTTAGTTTTATGTGTGAGCTATAAATGGTATCAATTTTAAAATGACCCAAACTATTGATCTATATCTAATTGATATTTTCTTCTAGTCACCTTATTTTCGAAAAGGATCCAGTGAACAAGTGCCACCGGGACATTTATAAATTATACTTATATTGGTACCTAAAAATAACCAAAATAGGCATTAGCCATTTTGAGAAAGACATTGGCTTTGTGAGACATGGACCATATCAAAAGATATCGACTTCATCATAATAATAACATGTTGTGGAAATCATGTAAACTAGATTAGGCTTGGTCTACACTAAAAAAAAACATGAATTTTGCCACGGAGATCTGGGGGAGGCCAAGCGGCCTCGCCATGGCCGCCGGTCGACCTCGCCGTCGCCCAGATCTGGACGACGGCGAGGTCAACCGCCACACCTGGGCGAGGCCGCTCGGCCTCCCCCCATGGCCGTCGACCTCGCCGTCGCCCAGATCTGGGCGACGGCGAGGTCGACCGGCGGCCATGGCGAGGCCGCTCGGCCTCCCTCAGATCTAGGCGAGGCCGAGCAGCCTCCACATGGCCGCCGGTCGACCTCGCCGTTGCCCAGATCTGGGCGACGGCGAGGTCGATCGCCACACCTGGGCGAGGTCGAACTCACCGGCCTCAGCCGGTCGCCGGACCGACGACCGGAGAAAAATATAGGGGAAAAAAAATAAAAAAATAAAAAAAATTCGAAAAAAATAAAAAATTATTAAAAAATGAATCTTAAGTGATTTTTCTTTTTTTTAGGTACGTGTCCATTTGAAGGTCTCGCAATCCAAGTGAACGTTGCAATTGTCATCAAATTGACCACTTTCTACTACAAAAGATTTCAGTCAAATATTTGGGTAAGTCTTTTTTACATGGTAATTTTTTCATTTTTTTTCAATTTCAAAGTAATTGTTGCGTCAAAAACAAAATTTTAATTTTCATAATTTTATGGTTTTAATTAAGAACAATAGATATGATATTTTTAATATTTTACGAGATTTTTTTATTTTTATACAGACACAATGCAAAGAGACAGGACTTGGATGTATAATAAGAACTTACCTGGACGTCGAGGATTGACCGATGAGTTTCGTACTGGGTTGGAACTATTTTTAGACTTTGCTAGTAGTAAATATGAGTTCATGGATGGAAACAGGTTAAGGTGTCTGTGTAAAAAGTGCAGTAATGGTAAATTTCATGTGTGTGATAAAGTTAGAGAACATCTTTGTAGATTTGGGTTTACTCCGAACTATTATAATTGGACTTCCCATGGTGAACCATTTATATCTGATGAAGGATATCGAAGAAGTGACCAATTTTTAGTTACGGAAGAATGTAGCTATTATGACCAATTGAACCCATATGAGAGGATGGTGATTGATGTAGCTGGTCAGAATTTTGTTTCAGAATCGAACCATAGAAGTACTAGTTTTACTCCTACACTTGAACAAGTGAGTACTAGTCATGCATCACAATTGGAAGAGATAGAAGTAACGGGTTTTGATGAGAATGTGTGTAATGGAACTTTTCCATCTAATCAGTTCTGGGAAGTATTGAAAGCAGCATATGAACCTTTATGGGCAGGTTGTGACAACCACACTAAGTTATCAGTGACAACAAGACTGTTAAATATCAAAGCAGAGCATAATGTGTCTGCAGATTGCTTCAACTCTTTTGTTGAAGTAATGCGAGAAACAATGCCTCGTGATAACATCATGCCAAGTGATTTTTACGATATGAAAAAAACTAGTGGATAACTTAGGTCTTCCGGTTGTAAGGATTGATGTATGTAGTAGGGGTCGTATGTTATATTGGAGAGATGATGAAAATGTAGAATCTTACAAATTCTGTAGCCAACCTAGGTACAAGATTAACAGGAGGCAGGGTCGTAATCAGAAGCGTAGACCATGCAAACAAATTTTTTATCTACCCTTAATCCCCAGATTGCAAAGGCTTTATGCGTCTTAAGCCACTGCTGAACACATGACTTGGCATGCAAATCATGAAACAGAAGAGGGTCTAATGTGTCATCCTTCAGATGCAGAGGCATAGAAACATTTTGATAGAACATACCCTGAGTTTACGATAGAACCTCGAAACATCAGGTTAGGTCTCTGTGCTGATGGATTTGCCCCATTTGGGAAATCAGGAAAAAGTTATTCATGTTGACCAGTTATCTTAACGCCGTACAATCTTCCACCTGGTATGTGCATGAAGACGCCTTATATGTTTTTGACATTGATCGTGACTAGCCCGCAAAATCCGAAAAAGTTAATAGATGTTTATATGCAACCATTGATTGAAGAGTTACAACGGCTATGGGATGAAGGTGTACTTACGTATGATGTTTCTACCGATCAAACATTTGTAATGAAGGCTGCTCTTCTTTGGAAGATAAATGACTTTCCAGCTTACGGAATATTATCTGGATGGAGTACAGCTGGGATCTTAGGATGTCCGATATGTTTGGAGAGATCAAAGTCATTTAGATTAAAACATGAAAAGAAGCCCAGCTATTTTGACTGTTACAGACAATTTTTATCGATAAATCATACATTCAGAAGGAATAAAAAAGAGTTCATCAAGAATAGGACTGAAAGAACACCTCCACCATTGAGGTTGACCGGCGATCAAATTTGAGAACGGGTGCAGGACTT